TTTCCCACTGAGGGTAAATTGGAGAAACTCCTTCTAATTATTTAGTAAGACCACATTTCTTACTAATTTCAACTACTTTGTACATTAGAAGCTATAGTTCTTGTTCAATGTCAGCAAAAATGACGGTATCATCGGCATATCTTAAACTGTTTATTCGTTCGCCATTTAGTAGTGTTACTTTTTTCGTAAAGCTTCTTGGAAAATTGCTTCTCAGTACATGTTGAATGTGGGAGGTAATAATATACATCGCTGGTAGAGTTTCCGATAATTTTCATTTACTCTATTTTCTCATGGCTGACTATTTTCTTAATCTTCTTGTATACACAACAATTAAAGCAATGTAATATTTTGTGCTTATTTTAGGGCTAGTACGAAAAACGTAGGTAATCTGGATCCCTTGTATATTCATTTCTTGGAATTACAACTCAGCAAGTGCAATGTACTGCGAAAAACGACAGCTATAACAATCTTTCAATAGATAATAAAATTTAAAGATTACCGATATGGGTGAGATAATACCTGTGTTACTTTTAATTGATGGCCCGTTGTTTAGTTCTTTTAACATGGATCGGTACAAGAAAACGAGTTCTATCTTATCAGAGTATACTTAGATACTTTATCAGTTATCCCGATAGAATTAGTAATAAATCGCGTATGTTGACAATATGATTTCTATACTACCGTAACCATGCACACAAAATACATATCTTCACAAAAAACGTCAATAACACATATGAAGTCTTGATCTGGGAAGTTAGCAGACTGTGGCAAATGTACGTTTTTTTTATTTGTAAGTCGATGCCTTTGGTAAAGACCAATTAGCCAGACAATGTGGCAAATCTAAAAATTGCTACCTATAATATAAAGATTTCAAATTTATGATTGTTGTTAAATGTAATTGGCTTTAATTTTGACTGAAATAAATATAATACCTCACAATTTTGTTTTTGTTTGTGTTGTATGTGTTAACATGCAAGTTTGTAAAGGAGGGATTTTAAGGAGTTTGAGCCACCAACCACAGAAAACTATATCTAAAAAAGAAAATATGACCAATAAACAGAAAATGTGCAACATAAATTTACAAAATATAAAAGAAACCTACAAAAGTAGCAGAGGCGTGTTGTGTGTTTGCCAATTATAAACTAAATTTTGTAAAACCGCAGATGTAGCATATTTTGGCACGTAGTATTAACATATTTCGATCATCTATCCAAACATTGTTTCGCTTTATAATAACGTTGTTAATCTTTGGGGTATACTGTACTTAGAAATAGTATATTAGAATAACTACAAAGACTAATCCGTTTACAAGAAGAATGTAATACACTTGTTTGAAATAATAATACCTTAGTCGCATTAAGTGCACCTTAGATATTTTTATCGGCACGAGTAGTCTCTATAATTAAAGCTTTTTAATATTAATAAACTTATAATATCATGATCAAAATATGCACATTTAAAAATCATAAAAATAACAAATCAAAGGCAAGAATCAAAATAATGTAATACGAGCAAATGATAAGAATTAAAACTTTTGTGCTTACTGTACACTTTTGTTCTTATTGTTCATTTTAAAACTGTTTATAAACAATGTGAAAAAATCTAGTTAAACCATTTTTCATAAATTTAACAACTGTTTTAATTGTAAAATACGTGATGGAATTAACTGTCTTCGTTGATATATGTATATGTTTATAGTGATGAAGTTCGACTGCAATCTATAAGATCTCTTGTGTTTTGGATGCCAAATTCTACTTGGATGAATACTACGTAATTATAGTGTTTCTAATGTTCCGTATCTCATAAGCTTTCCAAATTTGAAATTTTATCACAAACACGGCAAAATTTGGTGTTAATACCAATGAATGTGTTACATATAATGGCCATCACAATCCGTTAAAAATAAGGAACTTAAATTTGTCGATTAAAACATATGCTAAATTTGTTCAAATTCACAAAATAAGTCAAGAAGTGTTTCAAATATGTTTCTGCAAAACATCAAACATTATAACCTGAATGTTTTACATTTTCACCACTAAAACGAGTAAAAATGTTTTGTCGCACAACTGCTATGTCGAAATGCCACGAGAGTAACTAAACGATATTTATAAACACCTGCGAACACTTCACCAAAAATGCACTTCAGGAAGAAAAAAACCTGCTAAAAAAGATCTTCTGCTAAAATTATTATTCATTGTCATTTATTAACAAGAAATTTCACAACATTGAAGAAAGAAAACAATACACACACACCACAGGCAATCCAAAAAAAACTATACCATAAAAGGGCTTATCAGAAAAGTTTAAAAGGATAGGAAATAAGTATAATATCACAACAACATTCAAAACAATCAATCCAACTGAGTTCTATTCTATCCAAAACAAAACCTACCAACACTCAAGAGAAATCAAAGAACTGAATCTATAACATACCATGTGAATGCAATAATTTCTATGTGGGAGAAACCGCAACATCCTAAGTGGCAAGAGATATAGCATGAAACATACATCAAAACAGACTTCGACAAATCACAGATATGCAAATATGACTAGTACAATGAACACAGAGTACAATGGAAAGATGCATTAATAGTCAAAGTTGCCAATACTAAAAAAAGAAGTTAAAAACAAGAATATACGAACATTAGCGGATTAATAAAAACTCAGAGGCACATCATCTACAATTATACATAATACATATACAACACCCAATACATAAACATATTCTTCTTGTAGTTCCTTCTCCTATCGGAGGTTGACTATCATCACAGCTATCCGTAACTATGGATCTGCTACCATTGACTTTACCTTGCATTATGAGCCTTAATATCTCATAAACATATAACTTCTTCTTCTTCTTGTGCCGTCTTCTAACGAAGGTTGGCGATCACTTCTTTAAACGCTTCCCGATCTTTTGCAACGTGAAATATCTGTTCAACACTGAGGTTAGTCGAATCTCTGATATTCCTCAGCCAAGATTTCTTCTTTCTTCCCAAGCCTTTTCTTCCCTCTACTCTACCTTGCATGATGACTTGTAGCAGAGAGTATTTATCGTTTCGGAGTATGTGGCCCAGATACGATGTTTTTCTTATTTTAATTGTGTTCATAAGCTTTCTGCCATGTCCAACTCGTCTTAACACTTCCTCATTTGAGACTTTTGCAGTCCAAGCAAACCTCAATCTGATGGCCATACTCAATTTCTTATTTGTAAACATTGACTTGTATTTTATAAAGCCTTTTCGAGCTATTTCTATTCTGACCTTTATCTCCTGCTCTTGATCTAACTGTGAGTTTATAATTGCTCCGAAGTATTTATATTTGTCGACTCTCTCTAGGGGTTTACCCTTCAATATCAGTTGTATGTTGTCAACAGGGTTTTTTGAGATCACCATGTATTTGGTTTTATTTATATTCATTGTTAGTCCCATCTTTTTGCTTTCTCTGTTAATGATTTCCAGGAGAGTTTGTAAATCGTCTATATTCTCTGCCATGATTGCGGTATCGTCTGCAAATCTTATCTTATTAATGATGCTCCCTCCAATCCTTACACCTTCAGTTCTTTCCCATAGTGCCTTCTGAAATATTAGTTGGGAGTACACATTAAATAATTGTGGCGACAGCACACATCCGTCTGACTCCTCTTTAAATTTCCACCTGGTTTGTCTCACTATCTTCCGACCGTACGACCGCTGTTTGATTGTAGTACAGATTTTTGATTAAATTAATATCCTTGGGATCTAGGTGTATGTGTTTCAATGCATGTATGAGTTTACCATGTTGGACTCTATCAAAAGCTTTTTGGAAATCTATATAACATATGTACCGTCATTGCGCACAGTGCCTCTCTTGTTCCCATTCCACATCTAAATCCAAACTGTGTATTGTCTAATTGTTTTTTCACATTTTTTATATATACGCTGCTGAATAACTTTGAGTAGTATTTTTAAAGTGTGGCTCATAAGGTTAATTAATCGGTACTCATCGCAAGATTTAGGAATATTTTTCTTGGGTAAGGGTAAAAAGATAGATTTTAACCATTCATCCGGGATTTGACCATCGTGGTATATTTTATTAAATAATTTAGTTAGACACTCTATATTTTCATCATTCAGGATTTTTAATATCTCTACAGGAATTTCATCGGGATCTGGCGCTTTACCACTTTTTGAGATTTTAATTGCCTGTTTAACCTCTGATATCAGAATTTTTAGATTTTCATTAGTTGGTAATGTATCATTTATTTCTTCCCTATTATCTGCGAATAAGTCCTTGATGTATTTCTTCTAAGTTTGTTGTTTTTCTACGGTTGATAATTGGTTATCCCCCTTGGAGTTTCGTATAACTTGTGGTATTCTCTTCCGATTATTTCCTGTAATTTCTTTCAGTTTCTTATGTAGCCCATGTGTGTCGTGTTTCATATTAAGTGTTCTATTTCTCTACAATTTTCTAACACACAATAAATATACAAAATAATCAGAATTTGATAAGGTACACAAACCACTCACAAAATTTTCAACTCGCAGCATGGTTATTTGCCTACAATATGGAGGCCAAGTAAGTCAACCTTCAATTTGAAAACAAAAACATAACCGCCAAACAACTTTGGTTATAAAAACAACTCCCCAATTTAAAATATTCTTTTGAAAATGATTTCTGGAGTGCAATCGAAACATCACACAACAATTACAAAATATAATTTTCAATACAATCAATTGTGGCTTGATCCCATACCAGCATCATATTTTGCCAATTTTAGTGTACAATATCGAATGATTACTAAACCAGAGATTGAAAGTAAACTGGAAAGTTTGTATATAATCTTTTTGTTATAAACAGTTAAATGAACAATTACAACATATCAACCTCAAACCACCAAAGTCCAAATACAAAAAAGGTACCGAGAGAAAGAAGTATAACAAAAATAAAAAAGCGTAAAAACTAAAATAAAAACTGGATAGAAGTAAACAGGTAATATTCTGGCTTTTAATGATCAAGAATACCTGTAACAGAGCTACAACGTTATGCGCCGTGTCGAGTTGTTTTATAAATTCAGAGCCTTGACTGTGTCCCGTCTCGATACTCAGACTCGAAGGTAGGCTCTCGTCGATGTAAAACTCATCATTTGAAAAATCCCCTACTCCTGTGACGTTGTGTGCGCTCTGGTGGCCCAAGGGACTGTTTACCATTGGACTTTGAGGTGTGTGCGGGGATATGGATTTAGATCGCAGCGCGGGGTTTCCGTGATAATGAGAATTAAAACAACTATCACTAGGTTTGAGATTAGAAAATTCCTCTATGGATTCTAGGGAAGGGTGTTTGATATTTGTAAATGAGTCTGTGTTTGAACTGACGCTTAGGGTTCTTTGGGAATGATAGGAAGAGTGTTCTTGTAAGGATGATTTCTGTTGGAAGGTTCTAGGTGGTTTTTTAGGAGGGACGGATGCTTTGGTGTCACTGACCTCGGTGGAGGTAGACGCGTCTTGGGTGCGTGGACGAGGTGATGGAATATTCTTATCAAAATGCAGCTCCAACGGACTCTGGCCAACTTTTTCGAATTCTTCAGTGTCTGTTTCAGACTCACAACCCCTGAAAACAAAAATCTTAATTAACTTATCCAATTTGTACCAATTAGTTTTAAAATTACCAATAATCTAGCAAAAGATAAAAATATGATTCTTTAAGAATGATTAAGGTCCGTAAAATGACTTACACTCGCCTCGAGCTACCGGAATCTACGTACCAATGAAACGATATGATAATAATGAGTGTTAGTTACTTCTAAATGTTACGTACTAATCAGATAGACTAGCGTCTATCAGTGGTTCATTGCCGCAAAATGGTGCTGAATATTTTACGCGAATAAATCACAATTATAATGATCTTTTATTTTTGATATTTCAATTTCCAGCTCGGAAATATTTCCCCAAATACAAATTATTTTATTTTGTTATACAAAATCGTTCGCTTCACTTTTACTTTTAATTCCATTAATTATTAATCAAATAATAATAAATAACGAAATATTTAAATAAATGAAACTCAAACAAATCAAAACAGTCCACTAGTATGTTCCTTTTCCAAAATTACAAATATTGTTATTTATTGTAAGTATTTATTTTTTTGTCGATAATAACTAAATAAAAAATATCCAAATAGAGAAAAAAACTGGTAAGCATCGTTAGAAATATATTTTTCAAATAAAGTTTTAATCAAAACATTTACAAATGTGCAATAGCTGTCCTCAAATTATTCAAACAGACCCTTGTTAAAATTTGTAACCCGCGCTTAGTCAAATTTTGTTTTGGTGTGGGACATTTAAATCGCGAAACGGAACGCAATCGGTGTGAAGTTTGTTCTGTTGTGGAACTAATCGGGCAGCCGCTATTTTGTTTAGTGTTACTACTGCGTCTGCTGGTGAACCCAGCGTTTTCCCCGTCCATGAAAACTGTCACCTGGTAATCTTTTTTGATTATTTTAAGAGTTTTAATAAAGACAATTTTTTTTTAAATAATTGATTATCTAGTATGTAGCCACAGCTGTTCCTTTAATCTCATGTGTTTAAATAATTTTGTTTTATTAAGTATTTATGTAAAAATAACAGTCCCTGGCCAACAGTTTGCTGCCATTTCATACCACAGGCGACAGGATTTTTACATGAATACTTAACGAAATAAAATTATTTATACATATCAGATTAAAGACTGTGGCTATATATTAGATAATCAAATATTTTAAACAAATTTTCTTTATTAAAACTCTAGAAATAGTCAAAAAAAGCTTGCCAGGGGACTGTTTTCATTAACAGCTGAGACGTGGGGTTCACTAGCAGACGCAGTAGTAGCACTAAACAAAACATTTCCACTTACCTAAACAACAGATTTCTGATGTCAGTTTTGACTAAATATTGCAAAAGTTACCAGATCCAGATTTATGTCTAAACGAAAAAAGATTTTATTATTTTCCTATATCTGTACCTGTTTTTGAGAAAGTTATTTTAAAGCTTTTTCTTGAAGTACAATAACACTGATTTTTTGTAAGCCATCATATAATCAATATTAATTACTTTAGTTACTTTAAAAAACCAATTTTTCAAAGTATTATGCAAACTCATGAATGTGTTGCTTATGTGAGTCCATTTTAAAAAGGTAAAAAAGAAATAATTAGACTTTAATTAACTTACTCACAATCAATTTAATTGTGAGTAAGTAATTAAATTGATTGTGAGTAAGTCTAATTATTTCTTTTTTACCTTTTTTTATGACTGACTTTAGTGTCATAAAAGTACAGTCTTAAAAATGCTGTCAAATCAAACTTAACAAAAATTATTGTTTTTGTTCATAAAAACATTCTCCTGAATGGCTACCACAGCCCCTTGCATAAAATTGACCATAACTCAAAATCCAAGAGGAAAATGTGTGGATTTTTTATTATATAAATATATATATATATATATATATATATATATATATATATATATATATATATATATATATATATATATACAAATAACACAGTTTATTAGGGTTGCAGTCAGAATATTGGCCGGGATATTAAAAAAACACTCTTTTGACTTTTTTGTCGAGCTTTCGGAATGGTTTTATTCCTTTTTCAAGACACTGCAATAAGACAAAAATGTAAATATTTAAAAAATATCACAATTCTTCAGTGTAACTTGTTGAGATTATTTATATAAGCATTTACACTCAACATTTATAACACACATTAAAACATTAAAATATACAATTATGGACAGAATACATTATAAAATTTTTAAAATTTATTGTAAAAATAGTAGGTAAAACTTGGTTGATAGCATGTTTTAATTGTGTATATTAACTCATGCAGAGAATGGAAAGTAAACACTGTAATTAATATGTAATTAGGTGTAATTGATGTTATCTTTCTTTTAAAGAATTACAAGAGGCCCTTTTTAGGTGAACTATGCTTTTTAACCTGTCTTAATGTTATGCAACATATTATACATAGAGGTGTAATTCATGTACAGGTAAATTTTTATTTTATTTTTGGTGTTTTTCTAGTAAATAACAATAAATGTTGCTTAATTTGTCTATGTCTGACCTTTTGTTAATGCAAGATGTGCTAGATTTTCTGAAACACATTTCCAAAAAAACACGTTTTGAAAGGTTCTTTTCTTTCGCCAAAATACAGGAATCATCGAAATTGAATTCATGTTTCAGAGTTAGTGCATGTTCTGTCAATGCACATGCATTGATTTTTTTGGTTTTTATATCACTACGATGTGATATCACCCTGCTGTGAAAATTACGAGATGATTCTCCTATGTAAATTTTATTACAATTAGTACACGGTATAGAATAAACAACATTCGATGACTCCTGTATTGTGAAAGGGTCTTTTGTTTTTGTGTAAAGCTTCGATACTGTTTTCACATTTTTTGTTGTAATTTTTAAGCCACTAATATTTTTAAAGATGTTCATTAGCTTAGGTGTCAGAAATGGAATGTAAGGTAGACAACCATAAGTTATTTTAGATGGTAATATTGATGCGTTATGTGTCAATGTCATTTGTCGGATCTCATTGTTATGAAAATTTTGGTTGACAGAAACTTGCGAAGGAAAAGGAGAACCGAAAATGAGTTTATTTAACAGTCCTATGGGATAAGAATTCTCTTGTAGTATGGATCTCAACTTTTTTAGTCCCTTGTCCCTGAATTCTATGTGTGACAAGTTGATAACCCTCGTTTTTAAAGCCAAAACCAAATTTGTTTTCATCTTAGATGGATGTTGAGAATAAAAGTTTATGAAACGGTTACTAAAACAAGGTTTACGATACCACTCCGTCCTTAGTATGCCATCATTGCCACGATGGATTAGCATGTCTAAAAAAGGAATCATATTATCAGCCTCTCTCTCAACCGTAAACTTTAGGTGTTCACATTGGGCGTTAAAAGTGTTTAAAACATCTGTTACCTTGCTCTTAACAGCATTAAAAATAACTGGAACAACATCTCTCCACATACTAAGATCAGTTTAGATGATTTCATAAGAATGTTAACATTTATATTTGATTCTAACATCTTTTTATTCAATGGTAATTTTTTTAAACAAATTTTTGGCACTCCAATGGGCAGCAAAATATCCCCCATACTATGTAATTTTGTTTTGGATGAACTTATAACAACGTGTAAAGAAAACATACCTTTTCACATACCATTTATTAAACGTTATGTAGATGATTTGATTTTATCGGTCCCTGAAAACAAGGTAACAGATGTTTTAAACACTTTTAACGCCCAATGTGAACACCTAAAGTTTACGGTTGAGAGAGAGGCTGATAATATGATTCCTTTTTTAGACATGCTAATCCATCGTGGCAATGATGGCATACTAAGGACGGAGTGGTATCGTAAACCTTGTTTTAGTAACCGTTTCATAAACTTTTATTCTCAACATCCATCTAAGATGAAAACAAATTTGGTTTTGGCTTTAAAAACGAGGGTTATCAACTTGTCACACATAGAATTCAGGGACAAGGGACTAAAAAAGTTGAGATCCATACTACAAGAGAATTCTTATCCCATAGGACTGTTAAATAAACTCATTTTCGGTTCTCCTTTTCCTTCACAAGTTTCTGTCAACCAAAATTTTCATAACAATGAGATCCGACAAATGACATTGACACATAACGCATCAATATTACCATCTAAAATAACTTATGGTTGCCTACCTTACATTCCATTTCTGACACCTAAGCTAATGAACATCTTTAAAAATATTAGTGGCTTAAAAATTACAACCAAAAATGTGAAAACAGTATCGAAGCTTTACACAAAAACAAAAGATCCTTTCACAATACAGGAGTCATCGAATGTTGTTTATTCTATACCGTGTACTAATTGTAATAAAATTTACATAGGATAATCATCTCGTAATTTTCACAGCAGGGTGATATCACATCGTAGTGATATAAAAACCAAAAAAATCAATGCATGTGCATTGACAGAACATGCACTAACTCAGAAACATGAATTCAATTTCGATGATTCCTGTATTTTGGCAAAAGAAAAGAACCTTTCAAAACGTGTTTTTTTGGAAATGTGTTTCATAAAATCTAGCACATCTTGCATTAACAAAAGGTCAGACATAGACAAATTAAGCAACATTTATTGTTATTTACTAGAAAAACACCAAAAATAAAATAAAAATTTACCTGTACATGAATTACACCTCTATGTATAATATGTTGCATACCATTAAGACAGGTTAAAAAGCATAGTTCACCTAAAAAGGGCCTCTTGTAATTCTTTAAAAGAAAGATAACATCAATTACACCTAATTACATATTAATTACAGTGTTTACTTTCCATTCTCTGCATGAGTTAATATACACAAGTAAAACATGCGATCAACCAAGTTTTACCTACTATTTTTACAATAAATTTTAAAAATTTTATAATGTATTCTGTCCATAATTGTATATTTTAATGTTTTAATGTGTGTTATAAATGTTGAGTGTAAATGCTTATATAAATAATCTCAACGACTAGTAAGTTACACTGAAGAATTGTGATATTTTTTAAATATTTACATTTTTGTCTTATTGCAGTGTCTTGAAAAAGGAATAAAACCATTCCGAAAGCTCGACAAAAAAGTCAAAAGAGTGTTTTTTTAACATCCCGGCCAATATTCTGACTGCAACCCTAATAAACTGTGTCATTTGTTTATATCGACAGTCAATAATATCCAGTATTTCTTGTATATATATATATATATATATATATATATATATATATATATATATATATATATATATATCCTAGGCTGGCATGATATTGAAAAAAAAACAATTTATTCATTACGCACCTGCGTTAATTTCTGTTAAATTATTATAGAGGAGACGCAATTCACAACTATGATGTCCTGACAGTCTACCTGATATCATTTGTACACTTTCTGGAAAAATAGTAGCCAAAATATATTGCACAAATATTATTGTACCTACTGTTGAATTACTACAATATTAAACTAAATACCCAGCATAATCACGTACTATCATAATTTGGTATTGACTATCCACTTTGAACATTTCCAACGGTTAAAAAAACACTCTAGACAACTATCTAAAATAATTTATAATACTCACCTATCTAAATCCTTAAGATGAGGCAAACCTGTCGCAGTGGTGAGACAAGGTTCGCTCCCTGTACCCCTGAGTATATCCCTATCCAAATCACTAGCTAATCCTACATCACTAACAGCCTGTATCAGTTTCTCTTCCACAGCCTTGATCTCTTCCTCGTTTCCCATTTTTTCCTCCTGTATTTCTTCTTCTTTTCGTGCGGTCAAAGAACGCTGAAGGAAGAAATTCGTCAGAGCACTAGTATCGGGAACGTTCAAATTTTCTGCCATATCTGGCAAATCCTGTTTCAACCTACCGAAATAATGTCAGTTTTTAGCAGATCAAATGTTGGAGGTACATACAATATAGCACAATGACAAATATTCTTTTTAAACAAAACAATATTCTGATATCTTGAAATCGCTTTGAGTAGACAATGAAATTATATGAACTTCAATATATATTACTATTGCACGAAAGTTAGCAGCAAACAAAAGTATTGGTCATTTAAAATTAAAGAAATTTAAACAAGATTCTCAAATTGAGATTCCTTCATTTCTTGACAATAAGTCAACCTTTGCTTGAATTCTGGAATAAATTTCTAGAACATTCTTTTAGAGCTTACATGTGAATTGTCTTCCGCATATATTAACAAGTTTAGTAGTTTGGTTTATTACCAAGAAGTGAAAAATCTCAATTTGATCATATTCTAAACTGTTTGTGGACCAGAGGGAAAATTTCGACCAATCCCGATTATTCTTAGACTGTAAAAAATATGTCTCAGAAAAAATAGTTCACATAAAGATTAAACTTGACGTCAAAGCCTTAAATGTGATAGCAATCTATGCACCTGAGAACAAGAGAGATGTACATAAATGCAAAAGTCTACGGACACCTCCAGAACACAGTAAATGAAATACCACAGAATAAAAATATGTTAAACTTAAAGAGACAAAAACCTAAACGAGTCTTCACGACTTTGTTAAGTTAGACCTGTCAACACGCTTCCAGAAAGTCAGCATTTTTTTTCTGGGTGAATGCAAATTCTTTTTTCTTATAACTAATTTTTCAGAAATACTCACTTATCTATATCTTCTTGGGTAAGTTTGGGTAGTCCGGTATCGAACATTGGAGGTGCCTGCGTTGCAAAATCTGGAGGCAAATCATCCATTCCAGGAAACAAGGAATTTAAAAAGTGCCCTTCGAACTGAGATTGGAATTCTTTTCGTCGAGCTATTTCTTCATTATGAATAGTTAGAAGATGGCACGCTAATTCTGAAGCCCACTGCAATGAATATTATTAAGTTTTATAACCTACATCAAGAAGTGATATCTGTACGTACCAATAAAAAGTGTTGAGAAAAAGTTCTTCTTCTGACCACTTCAGCAACAGCACACAAATATGTGGCTGGAGCTAAATGTACCTGTTGAAGAATTATCAAATGCCTAATTAATCTCTTCAAACTTTCATGATAAATAACTAATTTGTGATCTGTTTCTAATATATGATCCTCTATGTACATCACCCACCTATTGAAAAAAAAAAAGAAAAAAGTAAGTTGATTGTTCATAGTATATATCAAAAATAAGAATCACATTATCAACTATATTCAAGTATATTTTAATACTAACGTTCGCTATTAAGAAGGATGTTGGGATATATTTCTGATTAGTCGGGTTAGACAAAAAAATGGCCTAACCTTGCATATCGAGCCGCCCCAAATTTTATTATTTTAACGTAAATTTAAAATCGCGACTGAATCTAACCGCTTCGTTATCCGTCATCTTAAATTTAATGGAGAATCGTTTTTTCTCAATATCTCAGCCATTTTTAACTTTTCGACAAAAATGGTACCAGCTTAAATTGTTGTAAATCTCATTTCCTTCTTCTTAACGTGCCCCAACCCTAAGGACATTGGCGATCATCATGGCCCATTTGACTCTATCTGCAGCCGTTCTGAAAAGTTCTATTGACGTTGATTTGACCCATTTCCTACAAATTTTTTCGGCGATCGATATTATCCGGGTTGAGGGGGGGGGGAGGGGAAAAGCATAATTATCGAATTATCTCGTTTTATTATTAACTTTACCACATTAATGTAATTTACCACATAATACACAGGAACGAACCTACAAGCTTAAATATCAATTTTGGCAAAAAATGAGAGATCAAAATTGTATAAAATATAATTCACTACATTTTTGCATATGTACATTGACTAATTATGCTTCCTATACACTATATCTACCGCACGAAAGAATTCGTCAAAAAGAAATTGTAGGAAATCGCATTTGCAATAATTTCAGTTCGTACGTATGGTGGAAATATTTAGCGAAAATGGTTCTTTAAAATCAAGATGATAGCTAACGCAAAGGCGGAATTCAGTCACTATTTTAAATTTATCCTACTATTGACCCCCTAAAGGTTAGAATAATAAAATTTGGGACAGTTCGCCATGCAAGGTCATATATAGTAATCCTTAACAATGGCGTGGAGTGATTTTTTGTAAGATAATTTTACATGAGATCATCTGGCAAATAAGATAATAATAAGAATAGTTAAAAGCTCGTGTATCATTGAGTATGTTACTAGATTTTTGCGCGATTTTGTTGTACCGTTTCAAAACGAAGATTGTTAAATGTTCCGTGTGGACTAGCCCTAATAATTTGGTAATCTTCAGTTTTTATGGAAAACATAAGAGAGGTCAATTTATATTTTCAATTTCCAACATACTGACAGAATTCACTTTTTTATCCACATATGCCAAAAATATAATGATCGACATTTATTTTTAATTACAATATATTGAATATGGTACTTGCTTAAAAGCTCTTGTGTGTTGTTGAGTATGTTCTTTAGAACAAGATACTATCCTTTTGGCGAATCGCACAAAAGAGCTTTCTTTAAAGGATATATTATTATGTGGATACATACCACGTATTGTCATTTAAGAAAAATGTCCATTATGTTATAATTCTGACAAATTAATAAATAAACAAGCGAATACTACTAGAATGTGAAAAACTTTTTTTTCTACCGACTAGTAATTTACCTACTCTACACTTACGTCATTATAAATCGTCTTATAAGTGTAATATGATTTTAACTTACTTAAGCCTATGGTAGAGATTAACACTCAGTTCTTCTTTCGCTCTAGCGCATCTTCTTCTAATATCACAGATTTGGGCGTGGTTAAAAGCCATCATTTGTAATTGTTTTTTATGGGACATGCATAAATCAGGAAGTACGGAGGCATCTTTAGTGTTGCTCGCCCTGTTTTGGTTCTAGAAAGAATAACAAACAATTACCATTAATTGATTTTATTTAAATAGCACACTCTGTATATTTTTGCAGATTTAAAAAAATTATTATACCAAATTTACAGGTACAATGTTTAATAAAAAAAAATTGGTTAAAATGAGAAATTAATACGGTTAAAGAATAGATGAATAAAATTTCCTCTCGGAACTAGCGCCACAAAAGGCAGTCGTCATGAGTAGTGTCGTAGAATAGCGGGTCTTCACATCGATTCACCTCTCTCGATCAATTCGTTTCTAGTCATCATATACTTACTCTAAATAGGTTTAAATTAAAAACTACATGAAAAATAACGAACAAAATAGAGACATTGAATAAGAAGTAAAAAACTAAAAATGTATCTGTCAATAAAAGATTGTAAAACAAACAGAAAAATAAAAAAATCGATGTTAAAATTCGATTCGTAACGATTATCGAACGTTAAAATTCATCATAAATGTCAAAAGTCATAAATGACTTTTGAACATAAAATCGTCTGTTTAATAACGCCCAATATAATAATCAATTTAATGTGAACATTAAATAAATTAAAATTCCAGTGTAAAAAGAAAGTGTAAATTTCAGTTTTCTTCAAGTTCAAATTAATCTAAAATTAAATTTATATATGTACGCCACTCAAAAGAATAATTTATTTAGAATAAGATGATGAATTATATTTTTTAAGAGGTTTCTTTTGACAGAAAATACGGTTATGTCTTTATTTGAACAGACCGAACCTTTAATAAAACTTCATAACTAAGAGGTAAGTAATATCATTAAGATATAGTAAAATTTGTTATCACATCAACATTCCCTCAGTGGTTGATGCATTAAAAAAATTGTTTTCTTTTATTGTCATACGGTCGGTCCATCCTCCAAGTTATTTAGGAAAGTAGGTCCATCCTCCTCCGCTCTGGAGGAGGAACGAAGGTTTTCGATTCCATCATCTTGTTCGTGGAGTTATGTGTCCTTGACTTAAACTCAGCGAGCAGCTCACCGGAGGCTCTGTTGTCAGCAAGGTGCTACCGGCAGTGTAGGATGCTTTCACAGTTCGAATTTCTTACGTGAATCGTATATATATTTATCTTACATGAAACATGGGTTAGTATTCTATTAACGGTAGAATGCAAGTCTCAGCGTGTAACCAAGTACACACTCCTCGAGATTGCGGATTTCGGAGTAATTGCAATCCCTTCGGGTCTTTTATTTACTTTCGCAATCACGCACGATATGGTACTCCGTACCGACACCAACTCTCGTGAAATAATTCCAAGTTCCATAAGGACCTTTATTTCTAACGAATGGTTTGGCGACGAAGTGCTGCTTCAGCTCGGCCACTGATTGAGAAGTAATATTAAGTCCACCCGGCCTTTTCTTACTCCTAACCGTCGGTGGCCTACTGGAACGCACTCTGTGTTAGTTCGACATGATCCGAAATAGTTTTAAGGCAATCTGTCTTTTCTCTATTTCGGGGACCGATGTCTCTCTGGCCAGGGAGCGTTATCTCCGAGCTGTTTGATGACTTATGCGAGGTAATTACAAGTCCGTTGCCAGATTTTTCTTTACCTCGACAAGAGATAATCGAACAATCAACAAACGCCGGTTCCTACACTTCTTATGGCTTGAATGATGTCGTAGCCGTAAGGCTTCGTATCTATTGAAACACTAAAGAGCTTTTGAAACCATCTTCGAAGTGAAGTCTTCTTAGGTCGATGAAATTTTCACACAGGTGAGAAATAAAACGCTGAAAGTTCAAAAAGGCTACTCAGTCAACTAAGTCTTGACGCATTTCTGCAGAAATCTTCCATCTGAAGGCCAATATAAACGTAGTTAAGAAATCCCTTTGTTATTGTTAATCCAATCCAAATTTTTAATCGTAAGTATTTGCAGCTTACTATCTTAAAGTGTAATACACACCCTAAGATAAGAATTATTATTCAAAACTCAATTATTCATTTGGTAAACAAGTTTAATTCACACTCAATAGTTAACAATAATTCGTAAATTACAAATAAACTAACAAAGTTTATTTTTTCGAATTTCGAGTTTTTTCGAATCCAACAACTTTAGATTTGAAGAATTTCTGGTGACTATGTCGGAAATCGAAACCGGCCGCCAGTATAGTAAGCCATAAGTACCAGAACCACAGCTACGGTTATTACTTTTTCCTCTTTGTCCAATATAAATTTTGTACAAGATTTTCCATGTAAATAATAATAAAAACCAATGTTGTTTCCAATTCTTAACTCCGAAAATTCTACTGATACAATTTCAATATATTTTGGTATGTTAGACAAATAAATAAGTTTGTTTATTCAAAATATTATCTATTGAGACTAATTCAAATCATGTCGATAACATACGCGAATATTTATTAATATGCGATGTATAACATTCTCATGAAATATTTATAGTTTTGTTAAACTTTGTATCAAAAACTTTTTATTTAATTTGAAAAAACAAAGTAGCATATAAAGATAATAATAACCCTATTACTCGTTTCTTTCCCATATTGTATTTTAATGTAAAGTTCATAATACAGTTATTTGTTTTCAAAGATCATCAATACAGTATATGAAAATACAACTTTTTAAAAATAAACAAGGAATAGAAAATGTGCTTAAGTTATTAAAGAAAAACAAACAATGGGTTTAGAAGTTAACAAAAGAATAAAAAATGCATAATATACATATCATACAGAGTGCGGCATTAGTGCGAGGAAGTCCAATTACTCATTTGTCCTAAGAGATACGAAAACAATTATTTAAGTCAAGTTGGAACATAGCTAGGACCATACTCTAAAAATATTTTCAAATATACAGAGCCACCCATTTTGTTAAATAGAACTCTGTATATTCTTGTTATATGATGTTCTAGTTTTCTCAATATGAGGTTTGGCAATATTATACCAGGTAGTTTAAAAGATTTTTTTAGAAGAAACGTTTTTTTATTAATTTCATAACAAGATTAACACCCTGCAGAATTGTAGAGATTTGATATAAAAAATATATATTTATATTCAAAAGATTTTCAATATAGTCTACTATTGTCATAACTGGCATAAATTTGATGTACAGACTTGGTTGAAACTTGGAAAAAGTATTTTTTTAGTTTTCTAAAATCGAACAGCCTGTATTTTAGTATTTCAATGAAATTTTATTTTATCGTACTTTATTATTTATTAAGCATTACCTATCCTAACTGCTTTTGTGTGCTATTCGTGATTTTTTGAGCCAAACATTAATTACAACAAAAATTACGTGAAATTATATCAGGTTGGTCATGACAATATTCAATGAAAAATAATTTTTCAAAAAAATATACATAATAATCTAGACTGATCCTTAATTTGTTAGTATTGGATGAGATATCAAAATACCTAAGTAATTGTTGGTGTGTAAAATATTAATAAACACACAATACTCTACCTAGTTGACCATGACTTTAAAAGTTAAAAGTTTAACATTTTTCTAGTTCCTGTTGTTTGTTACTATTACTAACATGAATTTTTTAGGAAGGTGGTATTGATATAGCTTTTGTGCTAGGATGGTATAACAAAAACGTGCAACAAGAATTTATCATCATCAATTCTTTTGGGAATTTTTTAGATTTAAACCATAATTAATGGTAATGGTAATTTCCAATTCGGAAATCGTTTTCAAAAAAATTTTTATCTATAAATTGGCCTATAAATGTTGATGTTGTCGCTATGAGCTAATATCAATTTGACAGCTGAGTTACTTGGTGTCATAGTATTATAGGTATCAGTACATAACGTGTAGTATATACATAGAACCTGCCAGTGGTGTATATAGTGTCACATTGATGATGATTCCCTTTGTTGATGCTTATTTTTTTGATATGAAATTGTACAAAACGTTCAAGATTTTTTACTAAGTTGACACATAATCAAAAAATCGTTTTTTTTATACATCTATGTCATTGGTTACGTTTGTCGTCATATGCGAAAAGCATTTTTTTTTATTTTTAAGGGATATTTACATAATATTTTAGCAGAATGCCATTTAGGTGTTTTGTAGGTGTGAATAAGAGCGAAACATTATCTTTTTCAGGTAAGTGCGTTTAGTTTATTTAACAAATAAATTATTGTACATGACTAAATACTTAACAATTTAAATTAATTTAATTTAAAAACAATTTGATTTTTTTTATTAAAATGATTTAAATATAATTTTGTTTAACTAGTTTTTTTTTATAAATTTGCTTTTGACGAAGAAAAATAAACTCATTATAAAATAAATGAGCACGTTATTGTTGTGGTAAACGAACCTTCAACCTCCAAGTGATAGATCTCCATGACACCCGATTATATAGCAAGTATAGCCGGCTGCTGAGTTTATATATTATAAGTCATTGGAATCAATCATGTTCATACTTGTTGGAGCTAAAAATGTTGGAGACAATAATTTTATAAACAAGACTTTGGTTTAGGCATGGGCTCTTTGTGTAAAAATACTGTGAACAGACAGGAGCAAAAACCCACAGTTTGCTGGGAATATGTAGATATGTTATCCATGTTGTCTCATGGACTAGAATACTGAATACATTTTTGATGGACATCAACTGTAAGGAAAAATCAATGAATTTTACCATTAAAAAGGAAAACAAACAACTTATTACCGCATGTCTAGTTTTTTAATTCTATCCCAAAGAAGGATATACACCAACAGATATTTAAATTATCATTCACAACACAACATAACCGGAATAATTAAATAATTAAATCTCTGCTCAAAATGACAGAGCTCAAAACATCTGCTCCAATGTAAATGCACTTCTGAAAAAAAAACCGCTGAAGAGAACAACAATACCATAATATGTAAAAGGCTTTCCAGAAAAATTTAGAATGATAGGAAATTCATATATTACAACATCCAAACCAACCAATACGCTTAAATCTATTCTATCCATAACTAAATCTGCTTTTTTAAAATTACCTGCTTTAAAAAAAACTTTTATCTAGGAGATAGTTCCAGATCTCTAAGTTTTTGGGATAAATGAGCATGAATCTTACATTATAAACAGAGACTTTGATAGATTTCCAGATTTCCCATATGCAAACATGCTTGGGATAATGAACACAGAGTCATTGGAAAGTCCAGTCCAATGGAAAGATCATCAATAGTCATGCAGAGGAAAATCAAAGAAGCAGTCCTGATCCTACTAAATGAAGCAAACTGTGTAGTCACCACATCAATAAAGTGCAGCAAGATCTGGTAAACAATACTGAAAGAAGAAGCTATCAGTATCAATATATCAACACTAACGAGTTAACAGTAGGTCAGAGATATATCCTCTAGAATCAACTAAAACAAGAACGGAAACATCAGAATTTGATATTAATCCGAGGGTACAATAACACCTCTCAGAATTTTTAGCTCCAAAAAGTGTAAACATAGCTGATGCCTATAATAATGAGACCAAGTAAGTCAGCTATCAAATTGTTATTACCTTCTACCGCCAACATAAACATTTACAGATAACATCATTTCATAATTTTAAATTTCAGATTGTTTTTAAACGATTTTTGGATTGGAGATCGAAACGTTAAAATAAAATAATAAAATGTAACTTTCAACACAATTTATTTTGGGTTAATACTATCTAAAAATATCTATCTTTTGGGGAGGCAAATATGTCCCAGGCGAAGCCTTTTAAACATTTTCTGTTTTCTCCTTTGATGCAATTTTAGGACTATTTGGTTGCATGGGGTTAAGTTTAGTATTGACTACTGTAATAGTTACTATACTAATAAAAATGATTATGACACATTATGTTATAGACAGTTGTTTTATATTAACAAGGTCTTGGAACACTTTTTGCGGCACGATCTGTTTTTATTTTCTTTTGTATGTGAAGGAATTTAAATAATCGTAACCGAAGTATTTGATTTCACACGCCTGTTGCATATTTCAAGTAATTTACGATTTACGATTTACTGATACTGATGAATTTACCCAGAGTATAACTGCTGGCTATGAATATTGCTATTGTAGTTAAAAAAATAATGGCATATCCAACACTCAAATAGACACCTATTCATAATAATAAATTGTACTAAATTGTTAAAATGTTCAAGAAAATTAATTAAATTTAATAATGAATGCTAAACTACTATTCCTGCTGAATATTTTTTCTAACTGTTGGAAGTTTAAATACTCAAAATAGAAATATTAATGAGACAATAAATTAATTTCGAATATGTAATTTCTTTTATCAGTGTTCAAAAATTGTTTACCAAGAATTCATTGTGTTTATTGTTTACAGCTTTATACCTATGACACGCTATGGAAAATTTATTATAAATGTTGCCTGGTTGTCTACTGTTGATGTTTTTTATTAGTTTATCTTTGTATTTAACAAACTATTATTAGTGGGTTCAATGAACACTCTTGGTACTTTTTTTTGTGTATAATTATCAATTTTTTATTAAAAAAGCTAATTTATTTAATTAGTTTGTTATTTGACTGTTGTTACGTGATTTATGACATGTCCAAGTTTGTATTCGAGATTATAAGGTCTCCATCCGTTGGACCTAATCTTAATAGATTTATAAATTTAAGAAACAATTACTTCCAGTGCTTAATTTTAATTATCAAGTAATTTTTTGATACAGAATATAATAAATATATAAAAATCGAAGGTACATCTAGGATCTACGAACCAGTAATTCGACCAATAAAGAAATATAAAGCTAAAACAATTAGAAACATTACATATTAATAATATTGTGTGATAACGACGTAATAATACAAAATGATACAAAATAATACAAAATGATGAAGTTAATAAAACACACTAACCGTCATTTAATAGAATCACCGTTGTGATTTAATAGATTAAAATAAAATACTTACATTAGCGAAGGACTGTGCCAACTCTGCTTGATTTTTCATATACTTCTTGGCTTCCCTCATAAGAGTTTCGAGTCCGAAGAGGCGTTCGCCTAGCCCCTTAACTTCCTTCATTTGTACATTGTCGGCATTTTTTAGCATTTCTGCAATGTCTTCAGAAAGCGATTTCAAAACCTTCTTGTCGAACTAAAAATTATTATAAACGATGAAAACTGGGTATATATGAGTCCATAATGCCTAGGTTATAGAGTAGTGGTCAATATCCACAATCCGTTTAAATGTTGTTTATTGTGAACACTAGTTTTGGAGTTAACAATTTGCACTCAATCCTAAGGGTGATACAAAGTACGGATATCCGTCGGTTTTATTTTTATCAGCCTGAGGATTGAGTGCTAATTGTTAATTCCGAAACTAGTAACAAAATAAACAGCATTTAAATGGATTGCGAGTTTTAAGTATTAGTCTACAATCTAGGTGAAAATTATCAATAAAGATTTCTATCTCAAACAGTCAATAACAAATATAAATTTTATTACTTTAAAAAGAAATCGGTAGAAATACAAGAAGTTAAAATATCTAAAGAAAGTTAGTAAAATGGCAAGAGAAGGCTATCACAAATGCTGTTTAGACTTTTTTTAAAAGATCATACTGAGTCAATTTTATTAGGAAAACAATACTTTATCTTCCTCTATCAATCACATCACTAACTTGTTTCTTTTTCTATCGTTTATAGAGACTGGTAATATTATCCTAAGGTAAATAAGGGTACACGAAGTAGTGGTGAAACTAGTTCACTACGAGATAAGATCCCAAATCGCCAGCTACGACAAAGAACAGGAGTGGCTGATGCAGCAGAGAGAGTAGCAACACTGAAATGGAACTGGGCAGGTCACGTGGCTAGAATGACAGATAATAGATGAACAAAGCGGATACTGGAATGGAGACCAAGAGATGATGCCTACAGAAGCAGAGGTCGTCCACCAACACGTTGGACTGACGATCTAAAACGTCATCATAGGAATTTGATGCAAGAGGCACAAGATCGAAATAGATGGAACATTATGAGGAAGATCTATGTCCAGTAGTGGATAAGCGAATATTGAATGATGATGATGAAGTAGTGGACCTACGGTAACAAAGTACAGAAGTACGGTATCAAAAGTGAAAATAAATGACTCCAAAACAAACTACTTAGAATGGATGGATGAAACGAATAAATCTTAAACATTATTATATTACTAGCTGACCCGGCGAACTTGGTACCGCCTTAGAATTAAATAATGTGTCTAAAAATTTAACAGAAAAAAAAAACAACATATTATATATGAAAAAAGTTGAATCTATTTTAGTGCTTTTGATCAACAATATTTTTATTTTTTTGTGTTGTATAAACAACGATGGCAGTTTTTAAAGTACGAATAATTGTCCATGCGTGAAACAAACTCTTAGTTAACTCGGCAAACTTCCAAAAGCTTCCGAAAGCCAAACGCATGGGAAATTGTAACGTTTAAAATAAAATGGTATTTTCGTTGGAATTATCGGGATCAAGACATCCTCAACCTCTCCTTTGTATTTTTCCTTGATGATCGTTGCTTCAATGACATTATCCATTGGCCTTTTCAGTCAGTCTCGTTGAAATGCACAGTCAAGCTTGATTAATGTTACGCAGCCTAATGACAACTGATCCTACTTTTAATTGTAAATTGTTACGTGGGAGTCTAGGTAAATCCAGTGAATTCACAAACTCTCCTAGATTTGAACCAACACTTTCCTAGAAGAAAATTCAGAATGATCGCATTCAGATCATCGACATCTGTATTTTTTGCCGCCAAAAAGTTCCGTTTTTTCATAGCTTACCAGTTCAGTTTTTCTGAACTGGTGAGCTATATCCGGAAAAACACGCTAAATACGCTCGGCCAGCAAATTAATAATAAATTTACTTGAGAGTTACATTGAGAAGGTAAAAGAATAATTGTATACGTAACTACTACGCTCGATGCATAAACAATAATAATGGCCGAGAAGCGTGTAAAGTTTTCGGTGTAAGAAAACGATTATTGTATGAGAAAAACATAAGACCGGCTCTCATCCCTACTCCGTGCTGTTTGCTGGATAAGAAATGACACTGGTAAACGTCTGACGGGGGTAACTAATTTAGTAATATATGATCAGATATCGACCAGGGTTAAAATGATTAAATTACTAATATGGCTATTAAAACATAGGGATTAGCGATGGAAGGGTTAAAAACTAACAGTTGTATGAGTTTTATTAGATTAGATGCTTCCGTTACAAAATGTTTCAAATCAACACAAACAACATACTATCTCAAAAGATGTGTTGTGGTTTATCATTGAGCTTAAGCAGCTCGGACAGTTTGATTAATGATATTTCTCCACTGGTCGCAGTCATCTGTTACATGTACTGGCTCAGTATACTGTCTGTTGAGAAGCTTTTTCGTAATGTCTGCTCATTGCTGTGAAGATCTGCCGCGTTGGCGTTGACTTGGACCATGAACTACTCCATTTTGTGATCGCTTCGATGGATATGAACAAAGAAGTTTAAAATTCCAAAGTAAACATTACTAAAGAGACGCTGATTGGGTTTAATTTCATCTAGAACCGAGCCAATCGTGTGGCGAGCCGTCCATGGAATTCGAAGCAGTCGTTTTCATGTCCAAATTTCAAAAGCATATACGAATCGTCTATCTGATTCTTTGATTGTCCATGCCTCGCATGCTTAGTAAAATATGGAAAAAATCCAGAGTTGAAATAGTCTCTTCTTGTTTTTTTATAGCAAGGTGACGATCACGCCATATTCCATTTAGTTTAGTCATTGCTGCTCTTGCTAATTGTATGCGTCTTCGAATTTAGGGTTCACAACTGCCTCTGTTGTTAACTAGAGCTCCAAGATATATCATAGAGGAGACTACCTCGCACCCCGCAATAGTTTGGGTTTCAGAGAACTGTTGTTGGCGATCAATAACCATGATTTTGGTTATGTTGTAGTTAACCGTGAGTCTAAACTTGGCACTTTCTACCTCCAATGTGTTTAATAAGTTAGTAATTTCTTAAGTAGAGGCTAGAAGTAAAGTGTCGTCTGATAAATGCAAGTTACATATCCTGACACCGCCTAGGTTTACTCCTCCTTCCCACCCATCCAAAACTACTTGGCATACTCCCTTCTCCAAGTGAATTCGTCACATAGGCATCCGTCCATTCGAATATATGCCAGGTTAACTTAATAGATATACATATATGGGGAGTATATTATCATGAGAAGAGCGCTTGAAGGATGGGAAAAGTCAAAATATTTGGTCTGCAGTTAAACGTATCAAAGAAAAAGATCATGATAGTGGATAGACTACATAACAATCATCCATACATAACCATGATTGGCCGGTTTAATCTGGGAACCTCTTTATATCTGGGATCATTGATCACAAACACAGAGTCACGACAGGAAGAAATAAAACGTAGATGTGATCTAGCAAAAGTCGCCGTAGGAAAGATGACCAAAGTATGGAAGGACTTTCAAATTTCACGAACTCGAAAAATGAGGTTGATTAACTGCTTAATATTCCCAATACTGACATACGGATGTGAATCTTGGGCCCTACGACAACCGGAAAGAAGAAAGATAGACGCCACTGAAATGTTCTCTTGGAGAAGAATGTTACGAATTCTGTGGACAGATCACAGGACGTATATTTCAATTTTAAATGAGCTAAAAGTTAGCAAACGGCTATCCAGCAAAGTTCATCTCCAACAATTAAAATAGTTTGGACATGTTATAAGAGCAGACACAGAAAACCTGGAAAAACTTATTATCCAAAGAAAGGTAGAAGGCCGAAGATCACGATGACTCCTACACTCCCTTCGGGGGTCAGGATTGAAGTTTGTTTAGATATACCTAGTATCGCCAGTATGTTCCATAGTTTGTCCCATTTAAGATTATCAAAGGCCGTTTTATAATCAACAAAACATATAAATATAAAGATCTAAATAAAGATCTAATTTTCTTTGGCTTTTCCTATAATGTTTCTTAAATTAAGGATTTGTTCTCTGCTCTAGTACCTCTGCCCTTCACAAATATAGTCTGCTCAGGGGCTATTTGCCAAATTATGAAGTTTTCTAGACGACGTTTCAGGATGTAGAGGCTCACCTTACTGGCGTGTGATATTAGAGCTAGTAGTCTACAGTTATTACAATTATTTGTTGGTCTTAATAACAACAAAAAATCGATTGTAATCAAGAAATAAGTATATTAAATTCTAAAAATAAAAAATAAAAAGTGAAGGTCTAGTTAAAATGGTATATAGTATTCAGAATATTTATAAAATCATTTTGCGTATTAATATACGTGTCTTTTCCAACTTTATTAATATAACACAATATTTTGTCTGCTTTATTTCTTTTGGAAATTAATTAATACTAACATTATGCTTCAAATATACCTGATTATTGTGAAAATAGAAATATGAGTTATTAATAAGTCACTATCATTTATTTCTTACTTACTAAGTCGAAAAAGTCCGTGTTGTCCGATGAAGGTATCGTGATTCGCAATCATTTATTTCTGAGTAAGTAAGTCGAAATAGTTCATTGTGCCCGAAGACGTTATCGTGATCGATATATACATTATATGAAAATTTAGAAAATAATACTTTCAGAGTGTTATTTATATCCCATTCACTAAATACAAACAGAACAAATGTAATCATTAGTGAGTGATGTAGGAACAGGTGACTATTCGACAAAACGTTAAACATCTGTCATTTTTTCTAGTTTCGTTATATATATTTACTATAGTTTTATTTATAGCCATTAAAAACTGTTAATCTATCCTTTATTGCCAATAACGTCAGAGAAAATCTAATTATAAGTTACACTTAAAGTAAGAAAATAATTGCTAAGGTTATATAACTTTAAAATGCCAAAAACTGATGAAAAACATGTACCCCGAGACTTAGATATGAGAATATCAACATCAATACAGTTATAGGAAAATATATTATTAAAACGACCAATATTCACATACATCAAAAGTTTACTCAAATACAATTTTTGTAAGCCATTATAAAATGAATTTTTACAGTACAAAGATTCAGGAAGGTTGTTTATAGCCTTGGTTGCTTGACTTGAAAAAGTTTTGGAACATTCAGAAAACATTTAGAATAAAAGAACCCCACGTTACACACTCTTATTTTTCAACCTCTTATCCTGAATACCTCGAAAATTAACACATCTACAATAAAAATGGATGTAAGTAAATTAGTTTACAATTAAACTTCCAAACAAAAGTTGTTTGTGTAATTTATTATTTAAGAACAATTTTCAGGTCGCAGAAATAAAAATTCGCGGAACAAGTTGAAAAAAATTTCAATTATATATAACTGAATAAATTGATTTAATACATTAAATATCGTTAACTTTCAGACTTTTAGTCTTTGTAAGGGCGTAGAGACACTCAAATTATTATTAGCTTCTGATCTCCATTGGCTGAGATTCTGTGACATATATACGGCTTTATATGGGGATTTTGATACTAGATAGAGTCTTTATTTGGTCTGTTCATCGTGTTGGAGGAAGATCTTCCTGTCGGTGTTCGACCTTCTACATTTCCTTCTACTACCGATAGTCTACATCCATAGTCTCCGTTCTATGTTCTGTCCAGGACATGCGTAGAATTCTTCTGTAGTGTAGACCCACATTTCGATGGCTTCGATCGATTTTTTTTTGAGAGTTCACGTTTTAGCTGCATATGTAGCAATCGGTTGTATTCGGGCCATTGCTGGTCTACGCATGATTTCTGACGAGTTATCGCCAATGTTAGTTATCAAGCAGCCTAAGTATACATACGATATTTTGTTTTTCCGTTGGTGATGTAGTCAACGGACTGAAGTCCGAATTCTTTGCTTGTCCGGCTTAGCCGGTTAGGTGATGGTAGTCATTTCGAATTCATTGGCTGCTAGTGTGTCATCCGCGTATCACAGGTTATTGATTTTTCTGTCTCCTATAGCTATCCCTCCATCATATTTCTTCATTATATATTCAGAATATACAGATTGAACGAATTTAAAACGGATCATACAATTTAATATATATGTCTGTTTGAACTGCATTTGAAATAGTGGACCAATATAAAACTTGAACAAAAATAAATCCATACCTGGGTTTAGACATTGTATAAAATATCGTTCAACTATCTGTCTCGCAAGAATGTTGTTTGCGTAACAATGTTGCCAATCGCCGTGTAATAATCCGATTTGCGGATCTTTTTGAGAGTTATATCTTCTTCGTATCTTTAAATAAATCGGATATTTGCCCATATTTTTCATTGTATTTACCAATTTACTACAACAGACTAACAACAAAAATAAATTAATGGATTGTAGTTATTTTCTTTTTTTTGTTGTAAATATTTTATGGATAACACCTTATTTGAGAAACATCTAAAGGAGTGAGGTTGACAACACCGCTCAAAGAAGGGCTTGTCTAAAGTAGCGATAACTGGTTTGACAGCATAATAAAATCGTTGATTTATGTGTAGCTTTCAATTTTTATGATTTCAGAATCCAGCAGCCCGCTGAAGTATTGGATTCTTATAATATAATTATTTTACAACTTTTTGTTGGCCAACCACCTACAGCAAAATTGAGCCTAAATACATAATATACCGTATGTTCCGAATTTATTTCGTTCAATCTGTATATTGTATAATAATGGTGATAGTATGCAGCCCTGTCTAGTTCTTTTTTTTTTTGTTTTAAAAATATTTGAATATATTTCGTGTACTTTAACTTTGGCTAAGTTTTTATCAAACATATTTCTTATTAGGTTATTTAGGTGGTTAGCACTCCCGTACTTCAAATTATCACATTCTACTTCAGAGAGAATACCATTTTACTGAATCGAAAGCCTTTGTGTAATCTACGAAACAAGAGATTGGTATGTTGTGTTCTCTTGCTTTTTCTATTATCTGTCTGGTGTTCAGTATCTGCTCACCCGTTCTTTTTCCTGGTACGAATACGCATGGAAGTAGAAAGTTGTTTACTTAAGTTTGTTAGGGATAAAGGTTTATTCATATTGTATCATATCATGTTGTACATATCCAGTATTACATCTAGTCCAATCTCGCCCATTGCTTTTAGAGTCTCCACTGGTATGCCATCTATCCCTGTTTTTTTTTTCTTAGTTGGTTGAGAACCTTCTCTACTTGCTGAGTATGTTTGTTCTGATGCATGTTTTGAAGTCTCTTCGTATAATTATGAGCAATAATTTTTCCAGATTTCCGCAATGCTCTCTCTGTTGGTTTTTACTTCTCCATTATGGTCTTGAATGGCTTGAAGTTATGGCTTGTACTTTTTTAAATAGTTCATGATGATTCAGTTCTTATATAATTGTTGTTATTACTGTTTCACATATATTTTATTCTTCTGCTTAGCTCCATTATTTCTTTAGTGTTGTTTAATGGTTTTGTGGTATGTTGTAGCATTGATCTTCTTGCTTTCACTAATTTCTAAGGTTTCCCATGACATCCAACGTTGGTTATTTGGTATTTTACACAGTGTCCATTTTTTTTCCGTTGAATGTATCCAGATTTTTATTCCATTCCATGTTTTATTTGTGTCTTTTACGATTTAACTTTAACGCACACGTAAAAAAACTTAAATAACTAAGTACATATACGCCTAAATAACAACATATTCCTGTTTGATAATTAATTTACAGAATTTAATGTTACGGAAATATTTTGACTAAATTCCTTATTACAAAACTCTCTATCTAAATCAAAGGGTGATATCCAAAAATACATCTTACCTGTTCAATACCTCTGCAACAATGATCATACAGTTTGTCCATGGTGTCAGAACCGCACATCCAATCGTAAAGGCTCACTTCCTTTCCACTAATGCTAGTTTGTGATGTGTTAGACAATTCATCTTCTTCGGAAGTTTTCGAATCGGCTATGGCTAATCGTGGATTCTTCAGTAGAAGAGCTGGCAATACCGGTATCCTTTGTAGCGTTCTCAGATCATTATTAAAACTACGAACCAAAATAAAATAATTGATAAATATTACAAAGTTTTAAAACTTTTTAAAAAATTTTTAAAATCAATTTTTAGTTTTTGTTCTGTTGGAAGTAAATTGCTATAGATTAAAAAAGATTTTCACTGTTAATACTTTTTGTAATCATAATTCGGAATTCTGATATTATATACTTATCATGAACTCAAAAATTTCCGGATTAATCTTTTTCCAATTTCATTATATCTAAACTTTTAAAAATTATTTTAATGACCTAGTGATAAAAATTATTTAGTAACATTATTTTAATGACCTAGTAACCTGTATTTATATACATATGGTAATTTTTAGGCGTGAAAACTGAAAAATGTATCCAATTTCGGAAATATATATTTAGTAATAAACAATACCCATTATAAATTATAACCGTGAAAGAGCATTCTTTTTAATGGTCTTAAAAAATGAACGCTTTTCTATTTTGTAAAAATTTCATTTATCGAACACATACAAAGGGTGTATCCATTTTAAAACAAGTAAAAAATAAATTTTAGTTATCATGTAAACAGGACTCGCAATGTTATACCGATTATGTTGCAATGTAGAGGAGTTATTGGTAAGACCTGGTATACCACCAAAACAAACACGAGACATACATGAATCGATTGTCAGATCTACGCTTGTGCACGAGTGTTTGGATTAATGCAGTCAATTCGGTAGGTTTTTTGAAATCCCTTCAAAAGGTGCACAGGTCGACGTGCTTAATTATCTCAGGTGTCTTTCGGAGTACTCCCACAGCGGCCTTTTTACTACAGATACCGTTGATAGATATTTATCTAAAAGTGGAGGCGCATAAATCCTTGTGTTAGATGAAAAGATCTGGAACATGGTTGTGAAAAGACTGATTGGAAGAATAGGTAGACTTCGTAGCAATGTCGATATTTTTATTGATATTTGTAGATATGAACTCCCATACTTCCGGCTAGACCTTTGGTCGTAGATTTAAAGTGGAAGTGGAGTATAAGGGTGTGGTGGAGGTATCGTAAGGTACGGGGGCACGGTAATATGTTATACAGATGGCTCGAGAACTAAGAAAACCGGGACAGGAATGGTCTTCGTAAGTGGGGACCTTCCATTGTCTGACAGGACTTTCTTCTAATTTGGTGAACATGTTGCTGTTTTTCAGACAGAGAAATTGGTCTTGCAGGAAGCGGCAGAGACAATTATCAAAATTGAAATTTAAGATCATGATATGTATTAGGATAGTCAATCAGCTCTAAAAGCGTTGATAAAAACGATCAAACGACAGGTATGCATAACAACCTGTTTTAAAGCTCTGAATTAGTTGCAGGCTACAAATAACAAAGTAGCTGTTTGATGGGTGCCTGGGCATTCTGGTATTGGAAGGGAATGAGGTACAGAATTGAGCTAAGAAATTTATTTAATTGAGCTTCATCTTTAGCGTCATCTTTATTTTTTAAATATGGAACACCCTATATATTTTTAAATGCTCCTTAACAACCTGATCTTAGCAAACTATATTACGTAGTGTCTATTATGAATAATACAAACTGAAATTTTGAAATTACTTATGTATAATTTTTTATCAAGAAATTAAATACAAAACCCAATTTATTGATACTTAGTTTAAAAAATTAATGTCTGCATTTAGCTAATTTAAAAAATACCAATATTTAAAATGTGGTATGTTTAATTTCAAAATTGTATGTATTTAACATCTTGAAAATTATACATAATTTTCAAAATTTCACTACATTCACAGTATTATTTATTACAGACCCTACATAATACATTTTTTTTTAAATGAGGTTGTTAAATAGCTTCTAAAAATATAACAATATACAGGGTGTGTTTATAAATTATTTTCGCTTAATTTAAATATACAATCCTTTTTCGTAATTTAAATATACCCATATATTTTTTAAAAACAGTTGTTATAACGACTAACAGTTACCTTTGTCGATTTATTGGGGTAAGAATTCATTTATTAGCTAATAACGAATATATTTTTTCAGCCTCTAATTGACATTTCGTTATTTAAATATGGCTAAAACCACGTCAACGGACTAATATGAAATATGTTTTAAGTTTTTTTTTTATTTTTTGAGTAATGCCTAGCAAATGATTGACTTTTCAAACACAACAACTTGTGCTAAATATGTTGGAGTACTTTGGAATTAGAAAAAATGAATGGTGCATCTTTGGAGCCATTTTCATCTGTTCAACAGTTAACATATTGAAATGTATGTTCGTTTATCAAAATCATTCAACAATTCTTTATTTTAAGAGAGTAGCTGCTGCATTGAAAATATCACGACAGACAGTACGTACAATTATAAAAAGGAAAGAAAATAATCATATTCTTTCAAAGCCAGGCAAAGTAGACTAGAAGTAGAAGTAAGTAGGTACTAATTTCTTCAATCTGAATTTGATATAAACCAGCAGGTACTTTTATTCAATACTTTATATAAATTTATGTTGTAAAATAAGATTGATGAACTTGTTTAAGAAAATTCTTGCTGAATACATTAATGGATATTAAATTAATTTGCTTATTTAGTTTTTTAATTTGAAATAATTTATAGTTTTATAAAAGCAAAGTATTAACTTTCTTGATTGTATTTGAACTATAAAGAACAGCGCGATTTATTCTATACGTATCTGTTTTTTTGGCGATAAAGAAGTTGTATTTATTGGCAAAATATCTGTTAGCATTTCGTTAAAAGAACTGTGATTTAAATACGAAAAGGACAATGATCGAAGAGCATTAATTGAGTGCACCAGTATTGCTGCTTTAAGAGCCAAGTTCCTTCGTAAATATATGGAAAATAGTGTGCACCCCAGAGACCTTGTTTTTTTAGACGAAACGTTGATTTATTCAAAGGGAAATAAAACAATGTCTGGCAAGATAACAATGTTAAAAGCGTACGTAAACCAGAAGGGTATGATGGTAAACGTTTTATAATTGTCCACGCTGGTTCTTCGAAAGGATTTATTGAAGAAAATTTATTATTTTGCTCAAAATCTAAAGTAGCTGATTATAATGGGGAAATAAAAAATGCAATTTTCACTGAATGAATAAGTGAACAATTAATTACCAATTTAGAACAGCCACATCAATTGTGATGGATAGTGCTCCATACCACAGTGTGCTTTTAGAAAAGCAACATTCCACTATTTCAACTAGAATGGAAATTATTACCTATTAGTTGATAACACACAAGATCAAGTATGAGGCAAAACTCATAAAATCTGAATTATTACAAATTGCGAAAATGAACAGAAAAGATAATGTGTATATAATAATTGATGAGCTACTAAGAGAACACGGCCATTAAGTGTTGGACAAATCCATATCACAAAGGGTCCTTATCACTGCGAATTCAACGGTATTGAATTAATTTGGGCAAACTGCAAGTTATATTACAATAAGCATACTGGAGATGTACATTCTGATAGTGCTGTTATAAATATGTGGAAAGAGGCGCTAAACCAATGTAACACAGAAATTTGGGAAAAATTTGTCAGACATACTAATAAAATTATTAATAAGTGGTATAGTCGAGAAAAAAATATGGTTGACATTAACATTCAACGAATCATAATAGACTCTATTAATATGAACCCTTATGTGCACAAACGGGTACATGAGTATCCACCGCGCCATACTTTTGCGTATAACTTCATGAAAAATTGAAATATCGATTTTTCCGTCTAGGAATGCCTCGTTGAACTCTTTGAGAATATGAAACGACTGAAAAAAATATTTTTTCAAAATTTTCTAACCCAAAATTACATGATTTTATGATACATACACGTTAGGCACAACCGGGTACCTGGGTATCCACTAGGTGTAAAATTATGTTTTCACTCAAAAATTAATTAATAACATTGATTAATATTTTATTTAGGTAATGGTAGTTTATAAATAAACAACAAATATAATTTTCATGTACTGCAAACATTTATTAAACTTTACTGTGCGCAATCGACACATTTTACAATTGATATAGAATGTTCATCGCAGAATGGTTTTTCGCACACTGCACAACTCTTTCGTGTCTTCCTGCGTCGTTTTACTGTCTCCTTATAGCAGACGTGACACGAACCAGTAGTTTTCTTGCGGCCAGTACTGTCACGTGGCTGGTTTTGAACAGCAGAAGCCTCAGAAGGGATAAGCTGTAGACCGACGATGCTCTCGATAGCGAGTTTTGTGTGGAAATGGCGCATCACTTGAGGATTTCCAGCGCGATCTTCAATGAATGGCTTCGCCAGTTCTTCACTTAGTTGCCGCAAAAATATACGTCGTTGATTCGTCTTTTTATCAATCATCTTGTTGTTTTCGTAATAGATAACGTATGCAGCAAGAGCTGCTATATCCACAATGTTGAAAAACAAAGCAAGTGGCCATCTTGCCGTTCGTCTATGAGTTGTATATCTCGTTACCATCTGGTCCATAGTATCCACCCCACTTTTGTACATATTATAAAAAGTGATCATGCGAGGTTTATTTTTTTTTTCGTCGTCAGTTATAGCAGCGTCATTGTGCATTGTCGAAAGTAAAATTACAGCCTTATTTTTTTTTGGAACATAGGAGCAAAGGGTTACTTTTTCGTGAAAGCCAAACAATGACGAGTACTGTGGTCGGGATTTCAAGGAAGTCATCTGTTTCGGAATGTATAGTTTATTTTTACGAAGAGTACCTACTACAGATATTTGCCACGAAAGCAAATGCTTGGCAAGTGGTAATGATGTAAAAAAATTGTCCATTGTTATATTTCTACCACTTCCTTTGTAAGGTGCTGCTAGTTGTTTGACGACTCTCTCACCTTGATTTTTTTCTCGGGCATTACCTGTTTTTCCGGAATAAATAATTCCTTGCAGTGGGTACGCATTTTCGGCATCGCAGATCCACCATATTTTTATGCCATACTTTGCTGGCTTGGACGGGATGTATTGCGTAAATTTCGTATGGCCTCGAAAAGGATACAGCTGTTCGTCAATTGTCAAATTTGCAGTCGGCTTGTACATTTTACTCAAATTTGAATTCAAAATATTCCAAACCATTTCGATAGTAATTATTTTTGTAAACATGTCTCTTATTGATAAAAATTCTGTAGATCTGTGTGGACCACTTCTTTGACGTAAAACATTTTGTGATGAAGTTTTATATACTTGAGGTGGAGGCTTCTTATTCCAAATAGTTTGATCTTTTGTTACGTACATGCTACCAGTTTCTATATCCTGCGCCGCTGACGTGTCTTCGCTGTCACTCTCCCTCTCCTTGGGACGTCTCGCCACCCGTAACCTCGTTCGATGATTGCTCGCCGGTTCTCAATGCATCCGCCGGTATCCAGTCCTCGTCCTCACTATCGTCGAACTCCTCTTCGGATTCCTCATCATTGTCTCCAAGTAAAGTAGTGATGTAGTCACGTCTTTGTTGCCTCGTCAATCTAAAATCCAATTCAGAAGTTTCAATTGACAAATATGACAACAAGAAAACGACAAGAATAAGACAAGATGATGACATAAAATACATCAGTGAATAATATTTACCTTGAAAATTCAGTTCTTGACAATTCATCATCCAAAGCGTACAATATTGGCACGAAAACAATCACACGTGAATCTAGACGACGCTCTACCGACCGTTACGGAATGTTTTCAACAAGCTTCTGCACGTGTGTGGCCGGTATTTTGCTATTACCGAATTAGTATTATCCTTTTTACATCCCCACTACAGCCGGTGCCGTCCAATTCCTACCTGCGCTGCGCTCCAGTACTCAATTGTTATTTTTATTTTTTGGAATGCTGTGGCGGCTCAGGATCTCCAATATGACTTAAGTACTTTCTATTGATGTTTATTTAATAAAATAACTTATTTCAAACAATTCCGTTTGTTTAAACTGTCAAAAATTAAGATAAACTCGCCGTGGATACCCGGGTACCCCGGTTGTGCAACAACGTGGAAAAATTTGGTTGTGCACATAAGGGTTAATATGAGTAGATCAAATTCTAATAGTGAAGAAATCTTAAATGTATGATTGTATACGATGCCGATGCTTCAATAATATTTAAAATGAATTGTTATGTTTTACTATACATGGATTTCTTTATTTGAATTTTGTTGTGTTAATTTTTGAATGTACATTTTTTTAAAAATGAATAAACAAAATAATCAAGATAATGGAGCCATGAGGTAGATTTCTATTCAGTTTTTAGATCATCTTCTTGTAGGTCTATCCTTTTCGAATCTTGGCGACCATCTTGGCAATTTGTAATTTTAACATTGCTGCTCTGAAAATATTTGTGGCTCTTGTGTTGAACCACGTACGTAGATTCTTTAGCCAGGAAATTCTTCGCTTTCCTGGGCCTCGATTTCCATATATTTTTCCCTGTACAATTAATGGCAGCAATCCATATCTTTCGCTGTTCCTCATGAAGTGACCAAAGTATTCTCTTTTGGCTGGTGCGATTCTGGTTAAATAACAGCCATACGTTTCGGGCGATATTTATTGTGGTTAACAGCTCTTTTTCTATTTACATTCTTAATAAAACGTCCTGATTAGTAACGTGGTTGATATAAGATATCTTCAGGATTCGAGGATAAAGCCACATTTCTAAAGCCTCAATTTTCCTGTAGATAGTGTCTGTGAAAGTTCTTGACTTAACTCCTAACAACAGTATAGGAAAAATATAACATCGTAGTAACTTGATTTTTGTGGGTATTGATAAATCATGACGATAGAGTAGCTTACCAATTTTTGAAATGCATATTTGGCTTCCTCTGTCCTACATTTGATATCTAGATAATGGTTTCAATTTTCATTGACGTTAGTGTTAGTAGTAGGTGTATGTGTTTACTCTTTCTATTCGTTGACCGTCCACACAGATTCGTTTAAATTGATTTTCCTTTTTAGAGATACATTAATATATACTCTTTAAGTGGTATTGATATATACAGAGTGAACCAAAAGTCTGGAAACGGCCAATTATCTCGTAAATTGCTAGTCATAATTGTACAAAATTTAAGGTACACCAATTTTGGGATACTGAAATTCCATACTTGATATTTGTAGTGTTGCCAGATTTGCCGTTTCTCTTATATTATTAGTAACTTTGGTTTTTTAAATTCATCCCCTTGCATATTCAGTTATTATTGGAATCTCATTCAATACGATTTCAAACATATGTAACACTTATGATTTTATGAAGTCTGGAAGATCTTAATGTGCAAAGTCTTAAGTGCAAAATACGTAGATTTGAGTAAATTTAAATATTTAAATGTAGAATGCTGTGATTTTAACATTTGTTGACCATTTACATTATTAACTAAAACTGACAGTAGTTGTGTTTCGAAAAGTTCTTCTAGAAAAGATAAATTGCTTCTCTAAAATGGCTCTGAACGAAAAATAACGAATTACTATTCTAATGATGAGAGGGTATGGTGACAAAAAAGATCTTATTGTGAAGTAGTCAAGTTGTTCAATGATACTTTCCTAAACCGTTCTCCTATTCATAAGGCGACGGTACAAAAAACTGTAAAGCGATTTGAGGAAACTGGAGAAGTAAAAGATAGATACCGATCAGGTAGATCGAAAAGAGTTATGAATGACAACAAAACTTTAGATATAATGCAAAGTTTTTTTGAAGATCCATATACATCCTCACGCAGGGTTGCACAAGTACATGATGTAGGTCGTTCTTCAGTCTTACGTGTATTACGTAAGAATAAATTTAAATCATACAAAATTAACTTATTGCAAGAATTAAGTAAAGCTAAAATTAAGCAACCTTTACACTGTGTGAAACTGTAAATCGACACAATTTAAGATACTGGAGTGACGTTAATCCACACTGGATGCATGAAAGCCATATTCAAAGACCACAAAAATTAAATATATGGTCAGATATAGTAGGTACTCAGTTAACTGGGTACGATTGCGTATTAAATACCACAGTGCATATTGAACTACACAGTTTACTATTATAAAATCTTTAACCTCAGGAAAATTTGTTAATTATACAACATTACAATTTCTTTTTATAAAAGAATATTGATAAAATAAAATTTTAATATCAAACAAAATTTGGAGACAAAAGAAAATAAGATTCCTAGTTTCGTAATTGTCATATAAAAATAAATATAGAAGACTAAATAATAAACTTTATAATATTAAACATTTATTGCAGTTTCATAAAATAAATGACTTTTATAATTTAGAATTGAAATTCCTGTGTGTATTATTTTATTCATTTTTTCCTATCCTTATTAGGAAGCCACTGAGAAATATTTTGAAGCCACGAAAAAAAGTAAGTATTGATAGTGTGATTTAGCCCTGAGATATACAATTTATTTATGTTTGATTTGTTTTAATTAATTAGATAATTACTTGATTCATTAATTAAAGTAGATTACATCGACAATCATTAATAGAGTTCAAAATAGAGCACACAATATATAAATATATATATATATATATATATATATATATATATATATATATATATATATATATATATGTATATGTATATGTACTGTTTTATTTGTGAAGATTATGGATACCGGAAAATTAATGAAGACGCAGTGGTCCAACCAAATGAAATAATGTAAGAAAGAAGTGATAAATCTTAAGAGTTTTTTAGCAACACCCATTAGTACGTTAAAATAAACAAAAAAAAATTTATTGACAAAAATGAACAATTTCCTTAAATTTTTGTTTTATAAAAATGTTTGCCTAGTACTGTTATTTTAAAAGTTGTAACCATAATCATACTCACACAGCATTGCATGGTGCGTTTCTGGTTAAATAACTGTCATAAGTTTCGGGCGATATTGAGAAAACAACCGTGTGGTCCTTTTTCTCCTCTTTTTTAACAGTTATTTCATCACCATCTGGATCCACCCTGTAATAAGTAACTTACAAGAAAATCCACATAGCGTATATCTTATATATTCATTTTTAAATTTACAAGCCAAACTACAAACTGTAAGAGGTTATTTTAATTTTTTTTTCTAACTCTTTTTATACAAATCCTTTTTTTTAGCTTTTTAGAACTACATAACTCAAATCAAGCACTCAACGCACTCACCAGCGAAAATCAACAGTCAAGGAAGGAATTGTGTTCAGGAACTAAAATAAAAACTTTCGCAACTCATGGTTCAGGAGAAGCAGTCAGCTAAAAAATTTGGAATAAATCGTATACGCATACCGTCATAAAAACGGAATAAAATTATATTTCTCTAAATATGGTATTGCAAGATTAATATGGAGTCAACTATAATGATTTCAGAAAAAATAATAAAATATTCTGTTTCTATTCAGAAAAAATAATAAAACAATATAAGCGTATATCGCATTGTGGAAAGTATCATGCTGCCAAATGATTCTTTATAATCATTCGGTACCTCTATGCCAATCAAGTAGCCATAGTACAGCTTGAAGTCACTATTGCACCAATTAAACGTTGAGTCATATATTCTGAAATTGTATTCCAAAACGAACTTAAAAGCTCAGAAGATGCCTTACAGGTACATAGATAAAAAAACTTTAGACATACCGATACTACAGTTTATTCAAGACAGTTCAGACTACAGAAAGCTTTTACCTACTAAACAGGATATCAGCTAAAGGCAATCTATTGGTTTTAAAAAGCAACGCCGAAAAAATAAAAAGTTTGTCGTGAAATGGAAAACTAATCAAATGAATGAATGGAAAAGAACAGTATTTTAAAAGTGTGTAAAATATTGAATTCCTAGCTGAGCGCTTTAGGAGTACAAAGCCATCTTCGGAGCTATGGTCAAAAATTTAAAAAGTACCACTATTAAAGAGGGAGGGAACCAAAAGTTATCAAAAAGACCTGTATGTCTGTCGTGTCAACTACATCCAGTTGGTTTGGTGCTTGCACCTGTACCATAAATAACATTTTTTAATATATTTTTTGTGAGATCTCCTAATGTGCTATCTTTTAGATGCATTTCTGAAAACTTTCACGTTTTTAGTAAACAAAGAAATTTTGTATTTTTTCACCAATGGGATCCCACTTCAATAATGGTACTTTTAAAATTTTTGACCATAGCTCTGAGGGGCGTTGTAAGGCGAAATCGCTCAGCTAGAAATTAAATATTTTACACACTTTTAAAATAAAATACTTCATTTCTATTCATTTATTTGTCGTAAGTGTGTACAAACACTTATCAGCCTTTTTCAATACGGGAAAAAACAACCAAAAACTCTTAAATTTAAATAAATGGGCAACTAAAATTTCTTAGAAGAAAATTTCTTAAAAAATGAGAAACTTCTCAAGCGATAAATCACTCGATATATGATACAACCGTGAGAACTGTTATGTATCCTCATTTCTATTTCGAGTCGAAACATGAGTGTATGGAAGAATGTTACGAATACCATGGACTGAACTGACTCACTAAAATTATAAACAAGTGGACAACAGCATACTTGGTCATGTTATGAGACACAATAAATACACATTTATAAAGTTAATATTAAAGGGATCTTGGTCAGAATGCAGAGAGCGTTCCTGGTTATAATATAACAAAGACTTCATACCTTTGAGTTTAAAACCTTTGTTAAGAAATATTTAAAACAGAGAACAATTTACCTAAATTTGTTCCTACATTACATATACAAAAATAACTAAACTGTTAAGGAACCAATTATGAGCAGACGTTTTTCCGTCTTTACGAAAAACTTACAAGATAGTCTCAGCTCGTCTCAGCGCGATAAAAAGCAGCATAAATTTGGCATAGGACGTAAACTATCTGATATGATTTTATCTAAATCTCCAATAACTGGGAAAGGAAAATGAGAAATGATAAAAAAGGTAGTAGACACAAGAGTCTTCATACATGCTAGACGTGAAGCGTAATCTTTAAACTAAGAACTGCTACCAGTATGACTAGCTCATTACGCATCTCCTGTTTTCATGAATAACGCCTGGTATATGCTTCTTTAGCGTTTCTGCCTTCCCTATTGGTTGAAGCGATCAGACGTACTAATGTCACGACCATAAGTAATACTTTGGGATAGCTCCATGACCTGTGCGTGGACTGCCTAAATTTTCTTTTCAGATTTAGTAACATTGCTGTTGAAATAATTCACCAACTTAGAGATGAGAGAAACTTTTGATTAAAAATAATTACACAACATATTTATAATTAAAAGAGTTAGAAATACTGTTACATATTAGTGTGTTGTTCAAAGCAAACAGTCCCTAGAAGTCCTAGATACACATTAGTAGAAATTAGAGAAAAAATCTTCTTGGCAAATCGATTAATCAGGAAATTTTTTGTTAGTTAATAGAATAGTGAAGAAGATAACAAGCATTTGTCATTTTTTTAAACATATTATATTCTTTCATCTGGATGATTAATTAAAAATTAAGTTTGTTATTACTCGATATTTTCTATATTTATTACGATGTTATATTTTATTTAACTAGAAATATTACTAGGAAATGATTTTACCTAGCTGGAAAATGAAAACTTCGAATATCAGAATATTTGATACCATGAATACCTACAATCATGCTTTACAACGGCGGTGGTGTTAGTTAATTATTCATTTTCCAGTCTTGCAAAACCAATGTTTATGGCTGCTGATAATAGATATTCTGTTTTTTGCTAGTTTTAAGCACACTGCACTTGTAATCTTAATTTAAAATCCCATCTACTAGATATGGTGATAACCAAATCTATTAGACAAGGTTTTCGAAGTGATTATAAAAAACTTATTGGAACAAATTTGATAACAGATCGAGCTAAATAGTGACATTTTACTTGCAACACCTTAAATTTAAAGAGGTTACAAATAATACTATTACTAACGAAAATAACGAATAACTTCTTCTTAAGGTGCCTTCTCCATTACTGAAGGTTGGCCATAACTACAGCAAATTGCTCTCTATCTTGAGCTGTTCGAATAACTAATGAGAGTAAAAGACATAGAGCATACTAGTTTTTTGTTTAGTTTAGCTTTTTGTCATTAATTTAGACAGCGATACACTCATTCTAAGTCTGATTTGATAAACAACAAAGCCAATTATCATGGGGTTCCAACTGGTTGTGCGAATGACGTATTTTCACTTCGAATCAACACCATCACTTCGCAACGTGGAATACCGTTCTTTCCCTCAATATTTGTGGTTTATAATCTGTGGAATAGGGCAGAACTGTCGATTTATGGTCGGTAAATCAACGTCATTCGAAGGAAGATCGGAAGCTGATGCACAGCAGATACTTCTTCAAATCTTCCGCCACGACTAGGAGCTGGTACGGTCAGTGTCGAGGTAATTTTACTATGGAATTGGTTTAACGAAATTGTGTTGGAAATTTTATTATTGTATAAATTACCTAACTTACTAAAATTTTTACCGCCAATACTGAGCACATTTTGGGGTAATTAAAAAAAAGTTAATATTTAGTAATTTTACAGTATCGCTCTCTCTTTTCTTTTCATTATTATCTATTTTCTGTTTATGTTCGCCGACAGCGACGTGAACCAGCGAAGAGCGCAGCTCCACGTTCCGTGGGATCCCGGCTTTAGTCAGACAGCCGCCTTTTTATTACCACGATTTACTTAACCAATGTTACTGAAATTGACCCTTAAAACACCTATGTGATGAAATTTCACCATAATTGGCGTTTACTGTAGAGATCTTTTAATTTATTCCAAAACCTTTTAGTAAGAAAACTTGATTTATAGTCTTAATCAGGGATCGAAATATTAGCGAGTTTTAGTAATTTAAATTAATTTTTATATAGTACATACATACCATAATAAAAATAACACAGCAAGAAAATGTATATGAAATAGATTTAAAAAAAATAATTTTAATTGAATCAGATTCAAACAATAAGAAGAGAAGAAAACTTAACTTGTAGTACTCGTATTTGAGAAGAATTTTCTATAGGTACTAAAATAGGTATAAAGAAAACATCTTAAACAGTAAACTTAAAACAAGAATATTATCGTGTTTTACTGCGTCGCTAAATATGTCATATACATTCTCAAATATGTACTTGTCGTAGCACTACATATTGTAAATGATAAATTTGGCAGATGGAAGGGAAATAGATGGACCCTTAATAAAACTACCATTCAGACTAAATCTCCACTCAAGGATCAATATTAAATGGAAAATGTCTGGGCATATACTAGGACAAAAGGGCTAAAATACTGACAAACTGGACCTGTTGTGGAGTTGTGACGTAATTATCGGGTATCCCCATACCTTGATAACCACTAAGACAACAGGGAGCCGGAAAAATTGTGGAATAATAAACTCAAAAGAGAAAGTTAACAAACTAAACAACCAGTTGATCTTGTATCTGAGTTGGTGTTGTTGATCTGAGTATATTGAGTATATAGCTTATTAGATGAATATATATGTGTATTTGCAGATTGATTGCCTTTTTAAATTCACATATCTTTCAGCTGCCACCAGCACTGATTGCGTCATCAGTACTATTATTATATTAGACAATACTTTCCACATACTTTGATTCTTGGATAATTTCATCAAGCAAAGTTTAAGTGGACTTTAAAGTAATAAATATATGTTTGGATCAAGTGAATGCATGCTAAATAAATATCAGTTTAATGTACAAAAATTTAGGTTTTACAAGTTTTACAAGCAATGTAAATTAAGGTTATTGGAAATAATAATACGAAAAGAATCAAGAAGTACAGAGACCAACACACCAGAAAAACAAAAATAAAGGTAATAAATTAATAATATACTTACAGCCCCAGAAACTTCGCGTACGACTCCCTTTCTTCAATATATTCCTCGAAGCACTTTTGGAATATATCCGCCCTTTTCTTGAATTCGAAAGTGATATCTTCCAAACTGGCGACGACAGCTGACCATCCCTGTTGTTGCAAATGTTGATCGTGGACGATATTTTCACAGACACTTAACTGTTTTCGAGCTAGTTCAACGAGTTGTTGTGCCAATTGAGCTCGTTTGGCAACGGTGCCGAATGTTACCGGCATATCACAGTGTTCTTGAACTTTGAGATCGACATCTGGAACAGATTTTTATTTAATTGTATATATTTAACGAAATAATAAAAATAAACAAAAACATTCCCGTATTTAGATATGTTTTTAACATGACAAGAAAATTGGAGACCAAATATATAATAAATATATATATATATATATATATATATATATATATATATATATATATATCTCCAATCCTTTATCAAAATACCGCCGTCATTAATGTTCGCGCCAACATCCAATCAGCATCGACGGTATAAATGAACCGTAGTGTCTAGCGGTTCAGGACGGACGAATTTAAAAACTTAGGAGTCAAAATTGGAACTACTAACATCTTTTCTATTTACAGGAAGAATTCGGATCATCTAGCTACTGAATAATTAGATGCCATGCTAAACTCAGCACCAACCGTCGTATTAGCAGAAGATTTGTCAAAGAGAATGTCAAAAACGAATATATGTATATATATATATATATATATATATATATATATATAAAAACAATGTCAAATTTATGTCAAACATAAATAAACATCTGCTGTATACATATATATATATATATATATATATATATATATATATATATATATATATATATATATATACATTAGAGTTATACATTTCTCTTTGGCGAAAACGTTAGGTGAAATAATTGATACACCTTATCTGCAAAGAGTAAATTTCTTTTCTTTTCTATATATATATATATATATATATATATATATATATATATATATATATATATATATATATTCTGAACAAGAATACATTTGATCCAACGGAGTGCATCGAAATAAAAGATATTACATATGCTGACGCCTCCGTAGTTTTTGCAGATAGTTTAGAGGGCTTTAATAGTTACCGAGAGCGTTAAGTAGATATTTATGCCTGAGGTCGACTATCTATTAATGCTCACGGTGCATACAAACTTTTGTCACTATTAGTTTTTTTATCTTATTCACAATCTAAATATTTTTAAAAATTCAGAAAATTTATCTTAGTAGCGTAGGCAATACTGTCTTTAGGGTGATGATGTCAAACATAAATAAACATCTGCTGCTGTCAAACCTTAAAAGGGAAAATGAAGGAAAATTTTGAAATTCCCGACGAAATAGCCAAAAAACGGAAATAGCAACACAAATTACATATACTTGATACGTAGATAATGTAACATGAATCAACATTTGCTGCTGGAAATCTATCTATCTATCTACAGTCAAAATCGTTTACAACGACACCGGATATAACGTACAATCGGATATAACAAACAAAATACTAGGTCCCATAAAATGACACAAAAAACGCATTTATATTGCTTATAATGAACAAATCGGTTAGAGCAAACGTATTTCTTGGAACACTAGCATTTAAAATATTGGTTACAGCTTACAATTTCAAGTACATATCTGTACCTCAGATGAAACAACATCCATTTTTTTCAATTATGACATTTTTACACACTGTATAATAAGTTAATAATAAATAATTATAACCAACGCATGATGTAAATGACAGTAGATACAATATTCAATATAATATTGTTTCCACATCTTAATAAATAAGTTTAACGTTATGAAAATGGACATTGCAGTGTTGTATTTCTCACAGGTATTACCGATATTTTGTACCAGTACAGTAACAGTACAGTTTTGAGAAGTAAGGATTTATTAATTTATGGTTATTGTACATCCTGGCAGGCATCTACACTTGATTACTTGTCCTTTTGACATTTAGATCTCCCAAGACGGGTCCATTGTATTACAAAATTTTGTTTATATTACACCATTTGGCCCAAGTCAAGAGTTTCTGAATTTGAATTTAATTGTGTCTAGCCTTCATAGAAAATATGTCACGGAAACAATTTACTATTGAGGAACAGTTTGAAATAATTTGATTCCTGGAATGATGAAACGGCGAGAGAAAATTATTATGCAGTTTAATAAGTGTGAAAAAGGAAAACGCGTTCGGTCATCAAATCACAGTGACATTGAAAGTGCTTTGCTCGATTGGTTCAATCAACAACTCGCAAACAATCTACCTGTGAGTGGGCCAACGCTTCAGGTAAAGGCTGACGCTTTCGCTGTGATTTTGAAGAAGGATTTTAAGTGTAATGCTTCCTGGGTTCAACGTTTCCGAGCTCGCCACAATATTGTCTATGGAAAAATTTCAGGTGAGTCAGCAGTTGTTGACATTTTTAATGCTGACGAAATGGGGTTGTTTTTTAGACTGATACCTGTTCACACGTTAAAATTTAAAGGGGAGAAATATTCCGGTGGTAAACTCTCAAAAGAGAGCAAGTTACAGTTCTTGTTGCAGCTAACATGTCCGGTTCCATAAAAAGGAAGCTTTTGATGATAGGAAAAAGTAAAATGCCGCGCTGTTTTAAAAACGTGAAAAATCTCCCTGTTGATTACGATTTCAATACAAAAATCTGGTTGACGTATTTTTGAAGAGACTTTAATAAAATGGGACAGTGAACTTTTGCAACAAAAGAAACACATAATTTTAATTGTCGACAACTGTCCGTCCCACCCCAGTTAACAGGTTAAAACAAATTAAACTCGTTTTTCTGCCTACAAATTGTACGTCAGTACTACAACCCATGGACCAAGGAGTTATAAGAAGTCTTAAAGCATTATTTCGGAAAGAATTGGTGTACAAAATAATCGAAAAGAGAGAGAATAACGACGATACGAAAGTCAGTATTCTTGACGCTATACTTATGATATCAAAGGAAGGAAACGATCAACTATTTTCGTTTTTCCGGCCTAACTAACGACTTACAACCATCAGGAATCGCATACAACGATATTGCACAAACGCATTTGCAGGATGCCGCTTCCCTTCTCAGTTCTGACTGCTCTGGAGATGACTATGTACGAGTGGATGATGAAATAAGTAGAAGCGAAGAACTGTCAGATATTGACATCGTACTGAGTCACCAAACTAGTGACAAACAAAGTACTGATGAGGCTGATGAATAATTGTCAGTTTTCGGCAAAATCCCTACTGTTGCTAAAGCGTATGCTGCTTGTTCCACCATAATAGCCTTTATTCAGACTGCTGAAACTTCTCAGAGTGCGAATCAATCATTATCGATTGTTTCCACATCAACTGAAAAAATTTTTTTTTTTAAGAAGTTCAAGGAAGGTGACAAACAAAAATTACAGACTTTTTTCATTAAATATTTAGGTAAAATGTTGTATTTACATATTTTGTAATACATAAATGTATGTATTTTTCTTTGTCTTTTTAAAAATAAATAGTATATGTATGCCTACATTTTTATAATACAAAAATTTTGAGAAGCCGTTATATTATGAGTATATTTTATTGACTACTTATACTTATTTCAATACATATTATACATATATGTATGTACATATTTAGATTTATGCAAGTACAATAAACACATATGTAAAATGTTATGTATAATATGTTATTATAACATAGTAACAAAGTAACACATTTTTGCGTCATAAACCTAGGTACAACGAACTAACTGTTCCTACCACTGTAACATCGATTATAGCAACCTGTTCATTAAAACCGATAGAACCGCTTACAGTGAACACTGGCTACAACATACAAAAGCACCAGTCCCCTGAAGTTCGTTATAAACAATTTTGACTGTATGTTATGAAAAAAAAAATTAATTTAAAGTATGGGGGGTCAAATGAGACCTTTGAATTATTTGTGTAAATAAAACAAAAAAAAATGTACAAAAGTGAAAAAAGTAGTATATTTCTAATAATAAAGCTATAAAAACCAACATATATTACTGAGGATGTTTGCGTAGTAATATATTTTTCACCTATTCATCTAGCATCTTTGTCTACACCATCTTTCTAACATACCAATTAATTTTAAAATGTAAGAACTAGCACAGGCCACTAATAACTAGACGTTTCACGTAGGTAGCTCAAGGTCAAACTAAACTAAATGTCATTTGTAGTACCGATACAAATCTTTTGATGTCGCTATACTCCGCAGTTTAGGTTTAGAACCAAACTAAAAATTATATTTGTCAATCACCAACTATCAGTATCAATAATAATAATTGATTAGCGTCTATATAATCAGATTTCAGCTGGTTATTATTCGTCTAAATTGTTTGACTTGATGGTTATTATTGCAAAGAAATCAAACTAAACTTGGGTTAATATCTCTGGGTTATTGTTAGCAATAACCTGTGGCTTAGTGTTATAAAAAATCCTAATTTAGATATGATGAATTCCACAATTCCACTACAGTTTTTAAAACAAAACAAATATGAAGATAAGTTTGATTCTCATGAAGTCATATCATATCATAGCTATAGTCGAACAATTTTCAATTAAAGGTGACTAATCTACAAATTGAACTAAACGGTAGCGGCAACCATGTAATATTTCATTAGTAAATTCTTACCGGGGTCATTTTTATTGTGTATGTTTCGCCCATGTAAGTATGTAAATTTGTAACCCATGTAAGATAAATTTGCCCCCGTAACAATATAAATTAATGCGATTCACGAGTGTATAGCGAGACAAGTTCAACGAATAGTTTGAAACATCGGTAAACTTATCAATATTTTGCTGGTCTATTATATATTTACGTTCTTAGAAAGAATGTTAATGAGAGAAATATGATATCTTAGTTTATTCTTTCCAGATTATAAACATTTGTGCATAAGCGTAGTGTGTTATTGGGAATATATTTATTAAGTAGACTTTATTATTAACTTTAAAATAGTTTTAAGGTAAGTAAAGTAAATTTGACGCCAGTTTATTCTTTATATAGTATTAAACCCTTAACGGACGCTTAATATACAAAGAGAAATTTGACAATTAATTTATTAGATTCAATTAAAAACACATAAATGAGGACTGATTCACAACCAAAAATTTTTTTTTTCATTTTCAATGAAAACAGTACAATTTTTAATAAAGGAACATATTGTATCTTTAACGTAAATTAAATTTTAAGGTGAAAATTTTCGAAACATTCGGGGTGTAGATGCATTCTAAACTTTTTACATAAATAAATAGTATTACTTTTGTACATCCTAGATTTTTGCACTATCGCCTCTTTTTGTAATGTGGCCAATATTGTCGAATCTGGTTTCATCTGGTAAAGCAAATTTAGATTGACGTCCATGTACAAAGTGACACTGATGTAGCGGTTTCTTCACTATTATAAATTAAAATTATAAATCTATGTCGACTCATGCTTTCTCTTATAATATGCAGTTCTTTATCCTCATCCTTTGATCAATGCATATCAACTTAAAGCGAAGTGTAAACCAGATAATATACATATGCTAATAATTTTATTTAAATCTATGTTATTCATTTCAAAATTGTGACGGTTATTCTAAATTACTTTTTTATCAAAAAGAGTAAAAAATCTTCAATATATGACTTTTCTACATGGTTGGCTTTTATAATGTCTAAATATCAATCAGACTAATGTTGAATTACTACTGAGCACGAATGAATATCCGTTATTACAACTTGAGACAAATTTGGATTTACTATTTTTGTCTGGTTTTTTCTTTGGTCGTTTTATCTGTGGTTCAGAGGAATATCATAATCAGAATCGTCAGAATTCCCAATCACTTGTATTTCATATGTACCTGCAATATCCGATTTTATTGATTCTTCACAAATAATATTATCATCAATGTCTTCAAGGAATACAATAATATACCAGTAAACGAATGGGAAAGATACCCGACGGAACTGTTTAAAGCAAAGGAAAATAATAATCAACACAATAACGTACCCGAATTAAGACACGAAATAGAAATCAGTTTTCAGGAAGTAGAAATAGTCATAAATTCGCTCAAAAATAGAAAGTCACCAGGACCAGATGGAATAACCAACGAGCTTCTAAAATACGGAGGAGAAAGTACGACCCTACAGATGACAAAGCTATACAAAAACTAATATTGCACTGCAAGGTACCAGACGCATGGAGAAACAGCATAATAATACCAATGTTCAAGAAAGGAGTTGAAGAAGACCCCAACAATTATAGAGGTATAAATCTACTGAACACCGCACTTAAGCTTACCACAAAAGTACTAACCAACAAAATCAATAAACTAACAACTTTATCAGATGAACAACAAGGATTCAGATCCGGATGATCCTACGTAGATGCCGTATTTGTACTAAGACAAACCACAGAAAAGGCCATCGAGTACAATAAACCAGCATATTTATGTTTTATAGACCTGACAAAGGCCTTCGATCGCATCCAAGTCGAAGACGTCTTACACCTACTGTATAAAAGAAACATACCAATCAATATTATACAAACCATCGAAAGCATCTACCTCCATAATCGAATACAGGCAAAGATAAATGGAAAACTAACACACTGTATACTAGTACAAAGCGGAGTCAGACAGGGTGACTCGTTAAGCATACTTCTCTTTAATATAATATTGGACGAAATAATATAAGCAGTACGTAAAGGTCATGGCTGATGAATGCGGAACAAAGAAATCCAAATATTATGTTATGCAGACGACGCCGCATTAATCGCCGAGACAGAAGACGAGCTCTAAAGATTAACACCTATCTTCAATACAACAGCTAAGAAATACAATATGATAATATCAGCAGAAAAGTAGAAATGTATGACAAACATTTAAATACCCACTAAATACCCACTACGGTGTAAAATCGAAATTGATGGGAAATAAAGCCGGAAGCAAGGTTTAGATATCTGGGAATAGATATAACTAGTTACGGAGATGTTGAAGAAGTACGACAGCAAAGCTTAAAAGCAAGTAAAGCGGCGGGTTCTCTTAAAGACACAATCTGTAAGAACAAACACCTAAGACAAGACACAAAAACAAGAGTCTATAAAGCAGCAATTAGACCTATATTAACATACACGGCGAGATAGGGGGACAAACAAGAAGATCATGCAATATAGAAGACATAAATGGATGGGTGACAAAACGAAAACAGGAGTGGAACACATCAGTAGAATGGCAGAGGATAGAATAGTACGAGTAGCACGAGATAAGTCACCAAATGGACGAAGAAGTATTGGCAGACCAAGAAAAAGATGGTAGGATAATTCAAACAATTTAGAAGGCTAATATTAAAGAAGAAACAGGCTTTAAAGCCTACATATTAGAAGGAAGAAGAAGATCAATGTGTTCTACATCAGAAACTTTCTAATCTAATATCGGCGGCAAATAAACCACATGAGTCAGCATTTTCACAATCTGAGTCTTCTTCTAACAAAGCTATTAACTCTTTAGTAGTTAGTGCCATCTTCATTTCATATTTCGAGAATTTACTGAAATAAAAAAATGCACTACTATATAAACATTCACTAGCATTCACCTAATAATAGTTTAGCTTACTTCACATTAATTTATATGAACTTCTTTAATACATTTTCATATTTATATAAACAAATAAACACAAGGAAACTTTCAAATTAAGTTAAAAAAAACAAATATAACGTTTACAGCACACAGCAATTCTATAAATAGAGAATGATGTGTAATGATGTGTTATTAAAATTTCAGATTGTTTTTAGTCTAATGAAAAAAAAAAATAAGTATTTTCCAAAGTTATCTTTTTTTTGAAGTTCTGTATTAGATACTCTCTAACAAGAATAAAATTTTACTTTACTTTGTTAGACAACTATAAGATACCTGTTAAATGAGACATGATAATTTACTAATTAAATCGGTCTTAGATTTAATTTTTACATAATTACTTATGTGTTTAAATAAATAATTAAAATTTTTTTTGGTACGCCTCTGTAAAATTGATAATTTCAATACGATTTCGTTGAAAAGTTATCGTTAAGGGCTTCGTTAAGTACGATGTTGCCAAGTAATCACCTTCAATTAAAAACTGTTTTAGTTATAGTAACAAAATGCAATTTCCGAGAACAAATAGCTGATTAATTTTGGATTCTTCTAATCTACATCCCAGAAGTATTTCAATGTTGTGCGCGGAAGCAAATGTAATATAAAGTAAGTAACCCTAATATGTAATTAATAAAAATTATTTAATTTGAAGTGAATCATGGTATAAATTATTATATCAACTTTTTGTTTTAGTTGAAAGTTCTTCAACAAGTAGAGATGCACAATCTACAGCCATGTTTCAATAATTTGAGATACCCTATTGTAGTATATAAAATTGTACAATTTTCAGCGGTAATAAATCATATTTTTATTGTATTCTAAATTATTATACAAAGTTGTTTTACATGTACTAAATAAATAAATAAATTATATTTTGTTTTATTTTTTGGTAAATGGTATTGTGTATATTTGAAATTAAAAATAATTTGCACTTTTTAAAATTTAAGTGCAATTTTTTTTTCAAATACACAATTTATATTTACTTAAATATTTGTAGCTTTATTTAAATTTTCCCACCAAAATTTAATTTTGAAATTCCGTAATTTCCTGCTTGAATTAATTCCGATACAAATCTCTTGGAGCGCTGAATTTCATATCTTAATAAAGTATTGTCGTGAAGCATCTAGAGGTAGGTGATTTGTGGGAACTAGCGAAAATTAAAACTATTTTAATACAAATTATTATTTGTTTGCATAAACTAACACAATCCCCAAGTGCGATAATATCTCAATTTTAAGAAAGCTCATACATTGAGTCTAATAAAAAATAGAGATTTCAATATATTGATTGACATAGTTGTCTCATACTTACCACTCTCACTTCCATAATCTCCAGTAGACGGAGGAGGAGTCGGAGATTCGATAATTGATTTACTAAAAAGAAAAATAGGATTTGTGTCGGTTCCTGCCGAATAGGAGCACACCCTCTTTTTCGGATCCAAACATTCTCCTCCGCTAATCAACAACACTTGTTTCTCAGCTGGTATTTTAAATTCCTCTTGGACGTATCGTTTCAGGTTGTCGACGCTGTAACAAATAGCAAATATTTAGATAAGTGATTGGATTGTATGCTAAAAATAAAATATGGGATGTTCGAGTATCGATTTTATAGAAAATTTCTATTGTGGCAATAAAAAAATCAGGAGGCTTAGAATATTCATTTCAGTACTAGATGAACAATTATCGTTTTTATTTGTTTTAATACCGTCCCTTCAGATATTGGCGATAGCTATGAAGAGCAATTTTGTTTCTGGCCGCAGCACAAAATGCGCAGTCTTTATTATTTCTTCAATGTGGTAATTGTAATGTTAATCTATACGGTAGAATTAGTAGAGATCTTAAAAGGAACGAGGTTTAAAATAATAAACCAAAAACTAGCTCAACTACTATATAAAATTCAAGAAAGATACAGCAGTTTGAACAATGTGCAATTGTACAGCCATAAAACTAATCGTCATATTATTTTTAATAATCTCGACGTGGGAATATGACTTTTTCTTGCGTGTTAACACGTTGATGGACAGAGACGCTGTGCAGCGTCTTTTTTTAAAATTGTGTTGTGACAGAACGCTGTGAAGCGTCCTTAACAAAATCTAATATCGTGGCAGAACGCTGTACCGCGTTATATTTATAATATAAATACATGGTAACACGTAATCCACTGTCGTAGAATACCTATCTATACCTTCCAATCTGTTACCCATCTGGTAAATTATCGTAATATATTATGGTAATAATATCGACAAAAAGGACACTGTACAAATTGACTATTTTTGAATAACTTAGGTGTCCGTCAAGGTGTTAATAACAGCGGGAGTTCATGTGAAGTTTTCATAAATGTTTCCATTTCACCTTTTTCAACCAAATATTGTTGCTCAGCTAAAGAATTTTTCTTGGTGATGAATTCGGTTTATAGACGTCATCCGACAGGATAATTGTTGGTGAAATCGCCATAAATGTGCACTCCAGATTAATTTAATTGTGACACTGTTACATAAATTCCACATACCAAACAGTAAGGCTTGGTAGAATTGGGATATCTTCTTCTTCCTTTTTGTATGTAGGCTTTAAAGCCTGTTTCTTCCTCAATATTAGCCTCCTAAGTTGTTTAAATTATCGCACCATCTTTTTCTTGGTCTGACAAGACATCTTCGTCCATTTCGTGACTTATCTCGTGCTATTCGTACTATCCTATCCTCTGCCATTATACTAATGTGTTCGTTCCACTGCTGTTTCCGTTTTGTCACCCATCCATTTATGTCTTCTATATTACATGCTCTGTTGATCTTTTCGCTTATCTCCCTATCCACCCGACTTTTCCCTGATAGTCGTCGAAGTATTTTCATCTCTGCTGTTTCTAGTAGTCGTCCCTTTTTAGATGTGTCAGGTCTTGTCTTCGCCGTGTATGTAAATATGAGTCTAATTGCTGCTTTATAGATTCTTGTGTTTGTGTCTTGTCTTAGGTGTTTGTTCCTCCAGATTGTGTCATTAAGAAATCCCGCCGCTTTACTTGCTTTTAAGCTTTGTTGCCGTACTTCTTCAACAGCTCCGTAACTAGTTACATCTGTTCAAAGATATCTATACCTTGCTTCCCGCTTTATTATTTTGAGATCAATTTCGATTTTACATCGTAGTGGGTATTAAGATGTTGTCATACATTTGGTTTTTTCTGCTGATATTATCATATTGTATTTCTTGGCTGTTGTATTGAAGATGTGTGTTAACCTTTGGAGCTGTTCTTCTGTCTCGGCGATTAATGCGGCGTCGTCTGCATAACAATATTTGGATTTCTTTGTTCCCCATTCTGTAACCATGACATCTACGTACTGCTTGTATTATTTCGTCCATTATCATATTAAAGAAAAGTGGGCTTAACGAGTCCCCCTATATGACTCCGCTTTGTACTGGTATACACTGAGTTAGTTTTCCATTTATCTTTGCCTGCATTCGATTATGAAAGTAGATGTTTTCGATGGATTGTATAATATTGATTGGTATGTTTCTTTTGAATATATAAATATTCAAAAGAAATGACATGATATGAAAATAAGAATTGCTCCCCCACTTAGTTTTAAATTTCCGAATCGCAATATTGTCCCCATATTTACGTTTTGTAGTTGATAGCTTCACGAAAGCTGAACAATGAGAACCGCTTCAACTATTTGTTGAATGATAAATGTCTCGATAATCAGTCTATTCTTTTGATTTTTTTTTCTGTACCCATCCGATCTCTAATATTTTTTTGCTAATGGTATATACCTTAAAACCAATCTTAAAAACATAATTTTTTGTGGGTTTTACTTTTAACTTTATATCGTATTTCGTAGTTTTATCGTTTTTCAAGATAGGAAGGAGTATTGTTTATTTTCTGCCAATGGTGTTGTTCTGTGAACATTATATCCGTTTCATCCATTTTACAACGTTAAAATATAAAAACCTTGAATTATTCATGTCTGTCTGTCCGTACGTAAACACAACTCAATCGTTATTAGAATAAATAGAATGACAAATAAGGTGTCGAGTGGCACCTTATAACCCAAAGATGGTAGTAAAGGTCAGTGAGAAATTTAAGCTCAGACTTCCGATTCCAGAGTTATAACTGAAAGTACTGTCACACTGTTCACCAAAAATAGCTGAAAGTCTGAAAATAACAACACCCATTATGCGGATTCGTCATCCGACGGATCTCGCACTGAGCGTCCACTTAATAGTGGCTTCCCACGATCGGCAATTCTACAGATCATCGCGGACAGCCGATCAGCACAGACGGCAACGCACCGCAGACAGAGCTCTTCCTACGGTCCGTGACAGTCTGTGTAGGTCCGTGACAGTAGTGTTTGATTATATCATAAAAAGGCCACTCAGGCTTGTAAACATCATCAGCCCCACTACCAGTTCCCATCGATTCTCTAACTTTTGTTTTTTGCCTTTTGTATGTCGACATTAAATTATCTCTCTTCTTTTTTAATTCTTTAATCGAAATAGTAATATTCTTCAATTGATTTTTTATTCGGTTCCATGCATCGTATGCATCGTTCCGGTTCTTATGTTCTGGCGCCGTGGAATTCCATCAATTTCGTTCATCTTGATACAAATTTGAAAAATCAAAAACAACTTTGTTTGTCCATTCAATTTTTCAGCAAAAAACTGCAAAACAACTTTGACAACACTACAGACAACTACTCGTGTCAGCGAATGAAAAACTTCTGACTTGCACTTGTTGTCTGTTGAAACACAGACGCGCTAGGATCGTGTCCAACGAGCATGCACCGCACCTTTGATGTTACCGACTCTAGATGGATAGGACGCACCAGCACGGACGTGCCTGTGCTACCACGGACGAGACCCTTCCCACGGTGCGTGGTGCGTGCTGGTCCGCTTACGTCCGCAATATCGCCGACCGTGGGAAGCCGCTATAATATCTACCGTTTGTGACGTGAACAAGTCGGTACAGTCTGCGAAACATTTTTTGTAAGTATGAACTGCAAAGGAGAGTCATTTCTAAATTTGCAAATCTGTGTTGTGTATCTATATTAAACATGGAGTTTAAATCGAATCTGAAGGGAAAAATTTTAAATAATCAGACACGGGAAATGATAGCAAATATGATTCATTTTATGAGAAAGGAAACCAACGACAATAAACCGTTCAGAGATTTGAAAAAAGTACAGGAACGTGTTGTATTGACAACAGGTGTTAGTTTAAGCAACGTTCAAAAAATTGCTCAGGAAATGTAATTAATTGAAGACGGCGAATGTTCCTCATTTGTAACTCCTAACAAAAAGAGGAAAAAAAGCACTTCAAAAACGTACTTGGATGATTTTGATATAGGGCGTCTTAGGCGTTATATAATGGATTTTTGTATAACACAAAAAAAAGTGCCAACTGTGAAACGCATACACAGAACATTTGCAGAGTACTACAACTGCTCAGGTTCCATAGAAAGCCTACGAACAGTAATTATAAAGATGGGATTTCGTTGAAAAAACAGCACTAATAGAAAATTATTAATGAAAAAGCCCAATATTTAACATCTTAGACTGAATTTCTTACGTAGTATAAAAGGTTACAGGAACGCAAATCGACGTATTATATAAATGGATGAAACATACGTCTATTCATCTCATACCTACCAAAAGAGCTGGTCTAATAATTCAAACAAGGGCCTACAAAAACCAGTATCTAAAGGACAGATGCTTGTGATAGTGCATGCTGGAGGTGAAAGTGGTTTTGTTAAAAACGCTTATCTGCGCTACAAACCTACTCTAAAAACAGGAGATTATCATGATGCAATGAACTACGACAATTACAAAAAGTGGCTTCAGGACAAGCTGATACCAAATTTGTTGGATCTATTTTTTTTTTGTTGGATCTATTTTTTTACATATCACTTGGTAGAACAAATACCACAAATATACTGAAGAAAAGTAATGACCGTAATAATAATTGTGTACGGGACCTTTTACAATCTATTCAAACTTTACGTTTCTATATTTGTGTCTCCGATTTTACCTATATTTTAAAGTTCACCCGCGCGTACAAGCTATCTTTTTCCTTCCGAGTGCGTTCTCACTTCATTGTTGGCGCAGGCAGTTAGAATTTCGGACTTTCAGCTATTTTTGGTGAACTGTACTGTTTTAACGTCGTCGAAATAGTACAAGCGATATATTATTCCAGGCGCCTTAGCAAGACGAGAACAAATAAATATATCCTTCCGGTTTCATGCCTGTCTGTCCGTTCGTAAACACAACTCCTCCGTTATTAGCACAGATAGAATAACAAATAAGGTGTCGAATGAAAGTTTATGAACCAAAGATGATATTAAAAGTGAGAAATTTGACTCCTGACTTCCGGTTCCAGAGTTGCAACCGGAAGTACTGTTTTAAAGTCGCCGAAATAGTACAAGCGATAAATTACACGAAGAATTCAAATATCGACTTTCGGTTCTAGTTTCGGTTACGTTGGTGAAAACTTTTACTAAGTTAAATTATTTGTTATACAAACAATTATTCCCTCAATTAGTTCTT